AGCTAATTGCGTCTATCAAATTAGGCTCAGCCCGCGGCTGCGCGTGAGGTGATTGATAATGTTTGGGAACCCGTTCCCACTGGCTTTACTGAATAAACTGTTTTGATTCACACTAACCTTCGCGATTTGTCACGAGGACACACTCACAAAAAACACAAACTAATTTTACAGACTTCGAAATGGGAACCATTAAAACATCGTTTTGTTTAATGATCCAAGTAATAAGTAATCTGAGTAAATCGAATTTGAAAATTAAATACGTTAAATCTTCAATTAAAACATGGAAATTAAAGTTTGATTCACTGAAATATATCATATCGTATTTGATTGTTACTTCACTTTTAGACGATACTATGATCTTATCACCGTAATTCTGGGCAATATTCTCGATTAAAATCCCTGTGTGATAGTTCCACATTTCACTATGAATATTTCAAGCAAAAATCAATCATTTTCCAATAAGAAGCATAAAACACTGCCTTTGGTGACACGTAAACATAAATCTAACTCTACATAGGCAACCCCTAAAGGCTCCTAGTAGGCACCAGGCATATACTCGTAGTAATATAATAAATAATGTAGAGCTCGATGTTAAATACATTTTTGCATTTTAAAGTGCTAATTAAAAGGTGGTAACGAAATACGAGCCGAATGAGTTTTGCGTTCATTAACAGGTGCAATCGTTTCGAGTTTAAAAACTAATGGGCATGCAAGCTGGAGGCTGGGATAGTGCCGCGGCCGGTCAGAGTGCAGCGGCGCGGGCGCAGCGTTTCAATCATTAGGAATTCGGCGGCGCGCACAAAGAGTGATTGATGCGCCGTTTACCGGCCGCGGTGGCACCCACCTAAAAAACGAACGCTTAATTAACTCGTTTGGCACCGCCGCTCATTAGAATTATTAATCAAACCGAGGCTGAGCGATAGTGAGCATGATGTATCGAGCTTTGATTACATTAACGCACTCGTCCGTCAGTAATTAAAACCACGCCGGGACGTCTGAACGAGAACAAAAGGGAACGAAGCACAAATTTTTAAACTAATAGCGCCGAAATGATGTATCGTTTCGCTAAAAATACTTGGCAGGTGCAATTAATTATTATCGACCGGTGAAACAATCGACTTGAGCTAGAATTAGATCCCTTTGTGTGATGCGCACGATGTGACTCAGATTTGATTAAGTATGTCAATCAATGATATTTTTTGAAGTAATTTAAATAATTAACACCTACTTCCAAGAACCGTCGAAAAATGCTACCAACTGGAGTTTCATTTTATTGGACTATACAAAGGATACATTATTCAAGTAGTTACCATCAGGTGATCCGTCTGCAAAAAAAAAAAGTATCCTATCCTATCATTGCTTTTTTCAAACACACAAACATGGTTTCGAAGCATGGAGTTGAGTTTCACCTACAACCAAAACTACCGCTCATTTCCATGCCTCAGATTCTTCCATCGTCCTTTTCTAGGAGCCTGAAAAATCCTAAGAAAAATTACATTGAAAGAAACATCTTAACTGAAGCATTCGCAGTCCAAACGTTTCAAAAAACCAGTATCGCAGTATTATCATAACACGTCCCAAACAAATTATACGACTGCGTGTACAAGGGCCTGCGCCCATGTAGGGAGAGTCCAGCGGGGCCCAGCCGTGGGCGGGCGAGAGATACGGCCCGATCTAATCTGGGCAGATAACCCCCGGCCATAAAGTAGCCGGGACGTGCCGTGTACACGACCTGACGGATTTCTGCGGCTAGTAAATCGGGAATAAACAATTGTTTAATACCAACTTTCTACGTCTATGCGACAATGTAGTTTAAATTTATTTGATTTAAACTTATTTATCCAAAACCAGAATTAAATAATATTTTTAAAGATAAGTAAGAGAGCTTTACCTAGTAAAGGTAGGGGACTCTACATGCACAGATGTTAGTTAACTTTTGATAGAGTTATCATCCAATAAGTCGATAATTAACACTTAAGGACTCGCGCCATAATTTGTGACATTCGTACTCGCTACCGGGTGCGCTGGACCCAGTATATAAAATCCTATGTATTTTTCAAAAACACTTAATAAAAGTGAAAACTATTTTATAAGAAGGATAATATGATATAAACAAACACAATAGTAAACCAAATAGTAATATTTATTGCTTTTTTCTAAAATAACAACTAATTTAAAGAAATTAAGGTTTTTTGGCAAAATGAAGGTAAATTTTGAAAATTTCTGTAATTAATTATTTTTAATAATACCATGTATATTTTCGTAAACTACTATGATTTGCGTACATATAATAATTAACAATGAATGTGAAATTAGTATAGAACATTAAAAAAATCACTTTGAATACCGGGTCCAGCAGACTCAAAAACACCTTTTTCGTCTGTAACACTCACATGCAGTGGGGTATTTGACGAGTACGGCCTTTATTGGCCGTGCTACACTGTCGTGGAAAGGTACTAAGAGCGACACCATCACAAAAGTCAAAACTTAAAAGTTATTACACAAAAATTGAAGTACTGGGTCCGTTAGACCCATTAGCGAGTCCTTAAGTGTTAAAACGAGCTTATTCTTGACCTTCAGGTAATTCATACCTACATAGCTATGTTAATAACATACATAAATAAGGTCATCTCACAATAACGCTTTGTACTTAAACTAAAAAAAAACATTTATTTATCTGTAATCATTCATACAATCGAATCGTGATCACACTAATGGAGTTTAAAGCAATAATTACTGAGTAAAAACGAAATGAAAGAAAACAAAAAACATAATTACATTGTTCTTCCTATCATTTACGTATAAAAGCGTTTTTAAATGATATTTTAAGTTAAAGACAAAAAAGTTTCATTGGAAATGAAAAGAACGACAGGTGTGTCACTGACGCGCGCAGCAGACTCATTTAACAAAGCAAGGCTAGGCTCACTGTAAATTGTATATGGAGTGAGACATAAGCTTTAAAGAAAAAGTGCCTAGCTTAATTAACAGATTATTTATTTTTCAATAGGTACTACCTATTATATCAGTGGTTCTTAACTGGTGGTAACTAGCCGGAGCGGCATGCATGTTGCTCCTTTAAAGCTAGTAGAGGTCGAGTTCCAAATTTAATTAACCAATGAATGGTACCTATTTAAAAAATCTTTTTTCTTTCCTTTTTCTTGTTGAACGAGGCCCGTATGTTCCTGGTGAGAGTTTAAGAACAGTAACAGCAACAGAACATACACACAATAAGTATAGGAACTCACTGTCAGTAGAATATCGATTGCTTAGGCTGAGTTGCACCACCTAACTTTAACCGTAACTACTCGTATAACGATAAACAGTGCTTTTTGTAAAAAGTTTCATAGATTAGTTAATTTTTAATCTCTTTATAGCCATAAAATTTGGTCAACATAGCTATGCAGGATATTGTCAATGCGAGAAGCGCGTGCGCACCTCCTAACTAACCACAATCCCTTGCAATTTTTTATGCAATCTAAAATAGTCTTTATGTTCTTTAGATTAAGCGATACGTTACGCTGCATAAATTTAACGGATATCTTTAATATATCAAATTTGCGCACTTCAAGCGTAAGTTTTAAGAACAAAGCCCGAGTCAGTACGAGTTCGACCACACAGGACGTTTATGAAAACCTTGCGGTTCAACGGTAACTCTAGACTTATTTTGTGGCTGTGAGCTCTACGTTTTATTTGATATCAATTGTCAATTCAATTTAAAACTTTTAAATGATACTTCTACTAAATATAACAAACAAACTTATATTTGGTGGACACAGGATGTATGCCTAACTAATCACGAGTCTACTCCGCTGCAACAAATGAGTCTCAGTATCACCTTGAAATTAGTGCAAGACCTTCGTCGAACCTGTCGTTGACTACGAGTCTATGAAACGTCTGCTGTACGAATGCATGAATGAAATTAATAAGGATAAGACTTCTAGGGTCACCAGAAACTATGGGCTCCTCTTATCCAAGATCATAAGTAAGTATTCTCCTCTCATTCAAGAGTTTTAGAGATCATGAAGTAAGGAAAGGGGAAAAATTTGGCCCAAAATTTTCCAATGACTTAGGCTGAGTTGCACCATCTTATTTATAACATTAACCGGTGCTTTTTGTATGGAGTTTGACAGATTTTTGACGTTTGTCAAAGTTAAAGTAAAATGGTGCAACTCAGCCTTAAAGTGTATTACGCTAAGGCGTGGCCCCAAATAAAGGGTACGTGTAGTAGATAGGTACTGTGACCGCTATTGATGCTCTTAATCATATTACTGGGAATAATGTCAATTTGCTAATCCCGGCCGGACGGGATGTCGCTGTTTATATTGTTGGCTCCGCAGTCAGCCACCAACGCGCGCGCACGAGCTACGATTCGGCTCCTTGGATATGACAAAAGAATATCTTTTAATTTGAACAGATTAATAAAAATAAAATTGTAAATTCTCACTTTATATTAATTTTCAGTAGGTATAAATATCTTTAGTGATGTAACATACCGGAACATTTTATATTGAAACCCTGGCTCCTAAACTAGTGTAAACTGTATTTTAGGAGCCAATATCTTCCCTCCCAAGTGATTTACAGCTTACGAGGAATTTGAATAGTAGAAAAGCTGATGAAACTTAATATACGATTTACTGCAAAACAGATATTATTCACGCCTAAGTTATACGTTACTAACATTCCTACTTTCAACCAGCAAGTTCGTAGGTCGTAGTTGCTACTATGAATGGACATGGGAATATTTGAATTTACTTACGAGTGTAGCATCTACATTATTATAAAGGTCGATTTCTCTATAAATTCATAGAGAACGTAGCATTTATGTATTTAGTTACTTATAATATTTCAATTAGACGATATTTTACTAAGCCACAGTGATTTTTCATAAACAAAAACCATTTTCATGGTCACGTCCCTTGTTAAAAACAACATTTGAATTTTCCTCATATAAATTGCCAACTCCAAACATTTTCGTTGCTCTTAAATTAGTCGTTACCCTCATAGCACAATCAAGTCATTCAGTTCATTAGCAAATCCTGCGCAGGACGACTGCCTCAACATGCTGCGGCGACCGTCACAGATTATTGTTTTAGGTAAGTACTTTTTCCCTATATTCAAGTTTCGCACACACACATATCGCACGGTACAAAAGGCGAATTTAATGCCATTCGGCATTCTCATCCAGTCAACCTTAGGGCCAAACTGAAAATAGAGAAAGACTAAAAATATTGTGCAAAACATGTTTACGGGAAACCCCCTGGATCTGATATTGATGGACTAGAGTTAAACAAGTCCTTATCAAATTAATTTTGAACGTTGAAATTGTTACTTACCGGCTTTACAACACCTCCTTTTTTCAGTTTTCACTCTTACCAGTCTTTCAAGGTCTCTATTCCGTTTTCTAACCAGTATTTATAATTGATAGCGTCTCTTCTCTACCTGGTTTCGGCAACGAAACCGCACGGCAAGCTCACCAGCTGCCAGGAGTTCACGCACGGGCTCACCTTCAACGACAGCCAGGCCATCGGCACCTGGCACCTGCTCCACTACCGCACCGAGAAAACCTACGACTCTGGCGACCCGCACTGCGTGGAGTTCTCTCCTGTAAATGATCAGGTAAATAAGATGCTATTGACAATGCACATATCCCTTTTACTAATAAAAAGTTATACGCACGCGTTGAACAGTAGTAAGTTTAAAATAACATTTCCTAACTAAACGTCACTTAAAACTAATGTTCAACCCGCGTGTAACTTTTATTAGTCCCAAGGGGGTTTATTGACTAAATGAATTTTACACTGCTTTCACTTATGTCGAACCTAGACACACACACAGACATTTTATACATAACATTTTAAAAAAAATGTACCAATGAATAGTGGCTAAACGCCTCTGGACATGGGAAATCGTTGTCTCATTTGCTAACACACCAATTTACAGATTTGAGTGTAATTTAAACTCCTTAAGTAATAACTGCCTACCAAATTATTTTTATTTACTAACAAAAGACGACCTCACCAAACAGGAACGGAAAGAACTATCGGACCGCATCGGCAAGTACGTAGAGAACCTGAAATGGGAGAGCTTGACGCTGAAGATGCAGGTGCCGTGCTCCGGCATGAAGTCCAACCGGAGCCGCGACTACTACCTCGAGAAGCTCGACGGCGACGGCTCCTACAGGACTCTACAGATGCCATCGCCAACTGGTACAGTTTATTTCTGTTTGATAATATTATCTGTAACCGGAAAACTTAAGTCAAAATACATAGTTATGAGTCAGAAAATATTAAAATTGCCTTAAAGTAGACTATACAGTATTTTCTCGAGCATTTTCACTCGTAATGGAGCGTTCTTAAGGATGGGACAATACAAGTAAAATCTCATTTTCCAAAGCACACTTTTTTGTTACAAGTAAAAGCTCTAGTCTATACTCACCTTTAAGCTATTTTTGTATCTTGACAATACACAATTTCTGTAGCTCACTTGTAGGTATTCTAGTCTTACTTTGACACAACCGTATCGCACAGTTTTTTTTTATCCACAACCAGGAAGCTCTTGGCCTGTATCTCACCTGATGGTAAGTGATGAAGATTAAAGCTATAGTTTAATCGTAACCTGGTAATCTCCAAGTTCCTCTTTCCTTGTTGTAGATTAAAAATTATAAAAAAATCCTTTTTCATGGTCATGTCCTTTGTTGAACTTTTTTATAGCTAAGCTGGACCTGGCCGAGTTTCACCGATATCCCATGAGGCTGAAGATCGTGGAAGGTCAATTCCTGGGCATGATGGACTGCCACGAGAAGTTCGTATTCCTGCTGGGGAAGCAGCCCTCTGACGGAACCCGCCTGGACGACCGGCTCAGGAAGATGATAGAGATCTACTGGCCTGAAGAAAATGACTCCAAATAAATAGCTGTAACATATACAACCAATTCCCTGAAATGTAACAATGGTTACCTATAGTAAATATTATGGTCATCCCTCGCCATTTATTAGGGAAATAATATAATTACTGATTTTGATAGTAGGACTAAATAGCACTTTTTAGCTAAATATGTTTAGAGTTTATTGATAAGGCGTTCTAATAGTTCGGTCGGTCGTTATAAGTTTGATAACTGCCGTTAGATTTAGGAAATCAAAATAAATATTACTCAAAATTCTATCATTACATTGGATCATTGGCTTCTCTTACATTAAAAAGTGTTAGTACATTTGCCTATGTATTTGTTTTATTATGTTTGCCTAAGTTTTACTTTCATGTGTGTTAAAAGGCATCAAGTTTCTCAGCAAGCAGTCTGCTTTAACATAACATTATATTCATGCAATTGTACTGCCGTAATACAAATTTAATGACTCGGCCAGTCCGACATACAAAATTAGTACAAATATCAAATAATCAAACCCAACCGGGCCATTACTTATCCACCCCACATTACAACCCCTCGTACTTACAAACAACGCTAAAGCACCACTCAAATTAAGTGCGGCTCGATCAACAGTCATTTTCGGTTACAATTAACCACACGTTTGAGTGAAAAGTCAACCACCCACTCCAATTGATTTATTGTGTCCTTAGAGTTCCGCCATTTTGTGGCTCTACTTGTATTGTGTTACATGAAATTATGTTAGACTGGAAGAGACACATTTCAGGAAGGGCAAAAAGGTAATTTAAGGTTAAATTCACTAATAAATAAAAAAACAGGCAGACCATAGTTCGAGGTTAAACATTCTCTTTAAGTATGTTTATGTAATAAACGGGGGAGTAAGTATTAACGTAAAGTAAAGTAACCTCGAGAGTAAGTTGAAGTGTTAATTTAACCCTTANATGTCATCGGCAAAGGTAATTATAGGTGTACCAGAATCTCATGGCAAATGGGGAAAATAAACTTTGTTGAGTGCAACACTGGGGAAATTGGATTAAACGATCTTGATACTTTTTAATTTTTTATTTATGACTTTAATATTAATGAACATGAAGTACGAATTCCTACCTATACCTGAGAAAAATGAAAAATGTCTTGAAAAATAGGTAAACCGTATATTACTGTAAATAATTTTAATAGGTATCATACTTATAACTTATCAATTCATTCAGAACTAGAAAACGATTCTAAGAACTCCACTTGCATTTCTTGTTCTTCAATAGATGATCAAGTTAAAGAGGTATTTATACAGGGTGGAATTTTGTAATGCCACCTGGAGGAAAGTACTCTTAATACTGTAGATAGAAAATTTTACTGAAAGAAAACATTCCTTTATTTTTGAAAAAAAAAAGAGAACTGCATTCAAAGATTTTCGAATTTTTTTCAAAAATTCACTACTATACCATAAAATTTTCTGTAACATTATCAAAATAATTTAAGATTTCATGGGTTTCCTTTCATTTGATTTATCAAGTTTCTTAGAGAGATTTCATCCTTATACTTAACCCTAACGATCGATGTAATAAAAAAAAAGAATGTAATTTTTAACAGATTTTAGTTGGTTCGATTCCCGGGTGTGGCAACCAAATTTTTGGAAATCTTTGAATGCAGTTCTATTTCTTTTAAAAAAAAAAGGAATGTTTTCTTTGAGAAAAAAAAACTATCTACAATATTAAGAGTACCAGGTACTTTCCCTCCAGGTGGCATTACAAAATTCCACCCTGTATAATATAAATCGCTCTTTCAGCATTTCAATTACTAAAACTTGCTTGATGAAATCTTTTTCAATTTTTCACTATTCATCATCATCATCATCATCATTTCAGCCACAGGACGTCCACTGCTGAACATAGGCCTCCCCCAATGACTTCCACATCGCACGGTTGGTAGCGGCCTGCATCCAGCGCCTTCCCGCTACCTTTATCAGGTCGTCGGTCCACCTTGTGGGTGGACTTTCACTATTCCTCTGCACTAATGTTTCATACATACACCTGAAAACCCCGAAATCAGCTATTAGGTAAGAATAATTAAAAAATAAACATAACCCACCCTCCTTCTGACGCAGTTAGGTAATAAATTAAATGTATCAAAACATTTCACTCCAACTTAATGTCAACTCAACGACGCGCTTTAAAATCAAAGATTGAGTTTGAATTATGCCCTATTTTACAATACACATTGAAAACAATATGTTTTGCTTGATCTTTTTCGACTTTTTCACAAAAATAACAAATAGGCATGAAGAGATTACAAANAGATATGTCAATTTTTATGCGCCTGGGGTAAAAAATTACCCCACGGTGTTACTTAAGGGTTAATAAACTCAGCAAAGTAGGTATATCTCTCTGAAAAACGAACATGTTTGAAATCAGTGTAAACAAATATTATTTGTTTTAACCTTTTACCGGTTAAAAATTAATTAATATGTAAGTTTTTCCAACCTGTTTCATTGCCAACACTTTAAAAGAGTGTCAATCAATGTTTTTCCGTAATTGGTTTTAGGATAAATGTCCAAGATTCCAATCACATCTAGTAGAGTTCTTTTAGATCGGTGGCACTCATAGCAGTGGCGTGTGCCGCGAAGGGTGCACTGCTCATTTGTCTAAACGCAGTATGTAGCGGTTTGAAGGGCACTCGCGAGGGCTGGGAAAGTGTTGCACTTTACAAAAAGTTAAAATGCTTCTCGAGTAGAGTGCGCTCTACCGCTGGTCTTTTTGTCCGAAGTTTCAATAGGTTAATGATTGCAGTTAACCAAATAAATTATGTAAGTCGGCAATAATTCCTCTTTACATAGACGTTTCCTCTGACAGCTGGATAAGTGTTTGCACTTATTATCCTGTCATACACGAATTTATACATAGTACTTTTCAGGTAATGGGGTTCGCTAAAGCAGATGGCGACCTCTATTAGCGAATTTATGTTCTGCACTTTTTCATACATAAATAATTAGGTACTGAAACATAATAAGTGCCCGTAATAAGCTAACTAATAATAGGTAACTTTAATTTATCGCTGTTATTTGGTAAGTTTTACCGACATTAATACTCTTAACTATTTCTCAAGTCCAACTTCCACCGAAATGGAAACTTTATAAATCATAACATAATACAATGTAATCACTTTGTAAGTTTTTAAATTACACTTTCAGCGAGTCATTAAGTCGAATTCCACACGAAATCTGGCGCACGCGGTCTACCGACTCATTATTAAAAGTTCAAATAGTAATAACCGCTGAATACAGCCGATACGAATCTCAGGAATGACGAAATGTACAAGGAGGTGTAATTTTCGGCTGTTTGCCCACTACATCGACAGAAAAGTTTTTCAATTACCCATAGAAGCGTTGTAATTACCGTGACTTAAAAAATAATTGCGCTTATAATTACATGATCGTCAACACAAACACGGAGTTGCTTCGCCGACAAATGAGAAATTAATTTGCCTGTACACTTCAAATATTCATTCCATTATAAAGTTATCGAATTCAAAAATAACGAGTAGGCAAGTCACCTACTACACGATATAGCTCGTATCTAAATTAGGAATTTTTGGTATTTGGGTCATATTATCAGGTGTACATAATTATTTAATGTTTTTATAATAAACAAACAGCAGATAATATACCTTACAGGTGATGTGAACAGTTTGCAATACCTATGTAACTACTAGTAGTATCTAGGTATTCGTAGAGCTTCTATGGAAGTGATGGATTTTCAGTAAAATTACAAGATTATTCAAGAACTGCCTATTGTTAACAAGCTTTTTTCAACGGCAAAGCTTTTTCATTTACCACACTATGAGCATTCCTAAATGCAATTTGCAACATGTACTTACCTAAGTAGTAATTAATTAAAATTCTTGATAGACGCATACAAAGCTTAGATAGCATGCAGCTGTTACGTAGCGTGGCGTGATTGAGCCGCCGTTTACCGCGGCCCCACACCTGTAATTACACCACTACACACATCCACCTTAATTGTTGGGAAAATTCGGAACGCGCGAGGGTGACTTTCCGACTTATGGGAACCCGCGTATTGCCAATTAAATTAGACAACTGTTTCATTATATCAAACTTAAATTCCCTAATTCCCTTCGCAGATAATTTGAGGCTCTTGTATCTGTCGCTCTAATTAGGGCTGGTTATCTATGATTTATAATGCTTTTTTCGACTGTATGTCATAAGGGGAGTGATTAATAAGTCAACTTTCAGAACACATTTTCTGTAATTAAAGATGAGCAAATGAGAACACTTGTATGTTCACACGACAATGTAACTAAAAACTAACATAAGTAGCTCAATAACATTTTGTAAGGAGCATAACGCACTAAGTTACCTAAATGAATGCCTATGTTTTTCTTTAATACGTCTTCAAACATTGCATACTACCCTACACCTACATTAATGCGAAAAAAACATTAATTTTATTGAAATTCTTTAAAATGTTTCTGATTTGTAAAGAAATTTTGCCATTCCATTTTGCAGCTTGAAAACAAGGTGGTAATAGTACTTAACCTGAAGTAGGTAATTGGCAGTTTACAGTGGGTAACTGGCTTTGAATCACACAGTACTTAGGTATGGGAATATCGGTTGCTAATGCTAATTCCAAATGGCGTAGCTGTTGGCCACCAGTGGGTGTACCTACTGTGCAAAAGAATTTCAATTCTTTCGACTCTATCCACCTCTTTCAGTCACTGTAGGAAAACTAAAGATCCTATAGAAAACTACAGGAGAGTAATTGCATTGATTGACACTTTTAGTAGGTACCTACTTACTTAGATCCCAGTATAGGAGTTAAGCTCTGATAGTTGTAATTCACAAGACGTGAAAAGTCCCATATATGAAAGAGACGAATAAAGCTGTCATATTGTATTTGCATAGTAGACCTCCAGTATAAAAACGTTTTGTTCTCAGATCTCTTTCTATGATCTGAGGTTTTGTTCTATTACAGGCAATTCCGGCGGTTCGAGGAGCGCTGCGTTTAGCGCTCGAGGTAAATTCCACGGATTTGCATACCTAATCGACTAGTTACACGCGGCGCGATAAGGGAAATATGCTGTTCAATGATTTACACTCGACGTATACCTACGCATTTATTACGTCTAAACGAGCCAGTTATGGCAATCGTGTAAATTTATAGCAGCGAAATAGTGTAATAAGCTGGATAGGTAATACAATTCAAATTACGTAGGTCCCCAATAGATGAAACGAACCCAAATCCATGAATTTACGATTGTCACAGGACTATCGGAATCGACTCTAGGTAATTGGATCCTGTGATTAGGTATCGTGGTCTACATTGAGGTATATACCGACCTATACCTATACTAAGTAATATGGATCAGTGATTTTGTTTTTTATAACTTAGACGAATCTGACAATAACAGTGCCTACAGCTTCGGCCTACAATAGATTAAGTACTTAAGTACAAACTTAGAATAGGCCTAACTTTTAAGAAAATTATTGATATTAGGTATGATGCAATCCACTAGGTACTCTAAAAGAAGTTTACAAACATCTGAAACGTACCTAAGAAGACAATTTTCTTTCTTATTTCGTTGGAATATCATATGAATTACAATCCATCGGGTAACAAACCGAGACTAAGTGCGGTCGAATGTTCCGTCGACTGTCCGCCATTACGGCGCTATATTACCGGCCACTGAATAATTTGATAGGGGAAATGATTGATACAACAATCACACGTAATCAAAATCGTGGCGGCGCGATTAGGCCCCGCGGCCCTGGCTTCAGGAGCCGACAATTGCTTCTACAATTTAATCAAGCTCTCCTAATGGCTTTCTCTCTTCATTAAATTGTAATAACGGATACTGTTTTTGTCTCTGCGGTGTGTAGGCGGGGCGTACCGTAATCCAGCAAATGCGTTTTGTGTGATTCTTTGACGAATTTTCATCATACTAATAGCTAACACCGCTATGTGCGTAGGTACATTCTATTTTAAGATTATGCTATAACCAAACCCATTTCGTAGGTCCACTGACCGTTTGAATACTAACTTCTAAAAGCGCCTATCAAACATCGAAATCACATTAGTACTACATTTACACAGCTAACTCTTTCTAAAGTAACCGAATTTGTGAAGAAAAACTAGCTTGTTTTCGGAAACGTTTTCACGAAGCTAAACACGCCGGTCGTCATGCGATTTGACAATTAGCAACAGGAGGGCCGGGGTGAGAGCAATCAAAATGAAGTCAGTTCACGAAATATTAACTGACCACTCGGGTACTGATTGACGGTGGGTAGGTATACCATCTAAATGTAAAGCTAATGTTGTGTAATTAGAATAACTCTACTGCTGCAAATGGCCATAAATAACCCGCCTATTATGGTGTTTGTAGTATAGTTTTCGCCTGAGTAAAATAACTTCGCCAACTAAGGCTAACAGAACTCAGTTTTAGGTCTAATTTCGTCTCTACGTTGTATTTCACCTAGCTCTAAATATTTACATCGTTGAATTATTTATTTACCGTTACATTAAATAAGTGAATGCTATGCTATCCTTTATATCAGGGAATTACGGATTTTATTAATGGTTCCTGCGAACAATAAAGAAATCAAAATATACCTGGTCCAGAAAAGGTTGCGAACCACTGCTTCAATGATAATGCAGTTTGCAGATCCTAGGGTTATTAAAGGACATTTCTGACAGTTATCGGACTCTCCGTTACTGACTCTACATAAAACGGTTCTCTGTTTCATGCGGTTCTCATGGGGTAGAAATTGAAACCCATTATTTTATATACACATTTATTACAGTTGCATACAACAGTACACAAGTATAAACAGGTCCATATTACATTGTTTTTACATCTATATACATAAACTTCTGACGCGTGATTAGCAGGCGCTATGGGAATGTAAAAAATACAAAATCTATCAAACTATTATCCCTCCTAAATGAATAAATTACATAATTTTTCATCATTCTATATCTATTTCTTTTGATTACGCTTACTTCTGCCAATTTGATTTCTATAAAAGATATTTACAATAAAAATGTAGAAAAAGTGGTTCCAAAAGCATAAACAATTCTAAAAATTACCATCTGGTTTTAAAATAATATTATAAATATTTTGTACATAATAATATTACAAAATTAAACTTGAACATGAATTGGTGAAAAATCTAATTTGCAAGTAGGTGAGTAAGTGTAACAAATATAATATCTTTCAAAGACCGTCTGTAATCGCCTGCATTCACTCGTCATAATACTAAATGCCACAGTAACACTGCTATACATAATCTCTAAGAAGGCGCATTGGTCAGAAGTACAACTTGTATTCCTGTAAGCACCCTCTTCTATCACAAGCATTCCAGTAACCTATTTGTAATATCAGTCGAACAAATAACTAGATACAGCACTACCTTCCTACACATACATATCCTACTTCACTTTGTGAATTATTACATCGAAATACACTGAGTTAATATTACCTGGTTTTCTATAATCATAAAAGTTAAATCAGGTAAACTTCAATACATAAAAATGCAATATTGTCACAAATATTATCGTACAATAATGTCATCATTACTCTTTATGACTTTTCATGATTTATTTCAAAATTATTTAGAAGTTAACCGCTGAAAGAAGCATGTAATAATAATTCATAGTATAGATACGCCTACCTAAATTCCTTTTAATTAATTAAAACGTGTGATTGCAGTACTTATATCAAAACGTGATGATGACTAACCTTTTTATAACAGGTAGTTTGTTTATACTACCTAATACCTATATTTGGTCATAGGTGTAACAATAATTTAAAATATTTTTTCGTTTGGTTTTTACTAATAAAGCCTTTCTTACACTAGGCAACATTTGAGGACGCATCGCGTAATCTCGACATTCGATACGTTAGCGACAAACGTGACGCTACGCTACGCAATGCTAAAAGCACACGACATTTAACAGTCGAGCTTTAATAGGTATAATGTGCTTCGACTAGTTTAACAACACATGGCGCTTCAATTATTGCCCAGTTTAAACGTGGCACATCATAAATAATAATAGAAAAACATTCATTCTAAACAAATCTTCGTTTTGTAAAATATTCAAGTAGTTAAAATTACAATTTATTAAATTAGGAGTATAAATAAAAAGTAAATTTCTGAACGTTTAAGATCGTTCTCTACAGTTACTATCCCATTCACCGGCTTGGGCTGAACATTTCATTAATTAAATAATATAAAAGCAGTATTTGAAGCAATATACACACGACGAGTGGGGGAGGGGGTTATATTTACAATGCAACTTATCATAAGATGGCGGCGAAGGGGGAGTTTAAAATGGCCGTCCATTCTGTGGTCGCTCGGGCAGCTTTGGCGGCACGTTGGGCACCGGTCGGCTAAACATAAAACAATGCATTAGAATCTCATTCAGTTAATTACTTATCCGTGAATCATATACAGTGAATGCTAAGAATTTACAAACATTAATGTAACGTTGAGAACATAACATTACAAGAGTGAAAATAACGAAATACAATAAAAGCGCATATCGCTGCAGCTAAAAACGTAATTTTATCGGGTATAAAATAATAATTAAAATTATGGAACCATGCAAACAAAACGCATTACGTTGTTTATTTTTTACTTGAATTACTTTCCTTTATAAAATGTATCATTTAATAAACTACATACGCGACCTATTGAAATCAATTTAGCCATTGTTAGTAAATGATTATTACCAAACGCATGCACCACACCTACTTTCTAGTTGTTAGTATTACAAGCCAATAAATTTCATGTTTGAATATTTCAATAAGAATAAAGTTTTAAAAATGGTTACGATATCAAATGATTGAGTAGATACTAAATAAGTAATTTCTTATTGAAATATTAATGTTTAATATACTGCAATATTATAATAGAGCTTACCTAATAATAGCACCCGTTTATGGTTACGAGTTACATCCGTATTAACTGTTAGTAAAAGGCCAATTAAACTGTATTCTAGCAACTACTGGAATAAATCAAACATCTTCATTACACATATAGCATTTAATTACTCTATTTATACAGCATAAGATTAACAATATTAATAAACTATATCAAATCCAACAATCACTGCCTATACCTTTTTCGATGGTACTAACGCTATTAACAAGATAGAGAGAGCAAAACGTTAGATGATTTGATTATTTTCGTATATTATTCTGCTAATATCGATAGAGCAATGAGACAGCTATAGCGTACACTCCGATATGAGTAGGAACTCGGTATCCTGATGCCTTCAGTGTCGCAGCGGCACTGCGCTACTCCTGGTCCATAGTCGGCATCAGCTATCACCCTTTGAACTAAACGGTTCGACTAAACACTACGAACATCGTATGGAATGTCTGCCGCGGCTTGGAATCTATGAACGATGTGAACGTGACCTCTAAATACGATGACAATAATTTTGAAGATTAAAATGTCCATAACTATAAAATGTAATATTCTTTAACGAATCCATACGTATTAATCACCATCAATAAAACATTCTAATAATTGACCAAAGGTATTGATACCCAGCAACAATTTTAAAGGACAACTGCTTTGGTCTTAGCCTTTATAAGTACAATAAATTTTACATACAAACTTTCATTAATACCGCATGAGTATTTCATAAGATATTTTGTTTAATCTAATACCTGATTACATCGATACAGTTGTAAATATACAATATAACAAACAAGCCTCGGGTATAATTTTAAATGCATTAACATTACGTCTGTCGCTACTGGAGACGAAAGAGAGAAACGTTCTGCGACGGCTCGCGGCCTAAGCTACGGTAACATCTAGACACTGACGTGAGAACTGTCACTACGCGGCTATCTCTACGCAACCAATGTGTCGAGTGCGCAAACATCAACAAATTAACTTCATCTTTACATTACATACAACTAGCACAATTTACAAAACAATATGATATGCTCGTTTGGATCTCCCTGACGTTCGACAATCAGGAGCTTGCAATGCTCTCCGCGCACCAACTGAACTATGTATGGTAATTAAATATACACCTATCTTAAGCCACTCAATTTAACATTTACAATTTATTACATAACGTAAAATTAGCTACAATAGCCCCAACGCTGTTACAATAATACATTTGAAGACATAACCCAACCACGTGGAGTAAGCATTGTAAAGTATAATAACCTATAATTTCAAAATCAGTTAAGTAATACTGCAATTTCGATATCTTTTCTTTACTTCCTTTTCACTGGAATGTGAGCATATTGCAGCTCTTCGCACCATTCTTCCGTTTAATGAAAATTATAATTAGCAGTAAACTCGTACACAATGTGTGTGATCTCCAAAGCTGTGTAGTAAGACATTAGCTTTGAGCAACAGTTTCACAAGGTGCAGATACATAATTAATATTTGCCGTGTTTATGTATTAATACAATATCATTATACTACGGTAACATCGTTATGTATCACAACTTCACAAGCGGTGTTGGTAGTTTAGGTGCACACAACAACAAACATTTTAACAGGCCCAGTGTCACGTTTGTTTGAAAAAAATGATTCATCATTGGCCAAAGGTAAACGAAAAGCTGATCAGTTAATTGCAATAATGAATTGATTTCTTGTTTAGTCATTGATTTTTAAGTCCAACGATAATTTAAATCGCAAGTCATTGATTTTACCCGCGAGAATCATTATAATGATCAACTTCCCGGTTGATAGCAAAACATTATTTAAATAGTTAAGGATTAAAGTGTCCTTTAAACATCGCTTACACTAACGACAACTGTACATGTCAATCCACACGTTAAGCCAGACATAACGACGCGACAATAGAACAACACGCATAAGCGATGTTCGAACAAACAATTAATATCATTAGATATTCAACCACAGGTAACTTTCAATAATGGGATATACATACAAAAGGTTATGTAAACTTATACATTTATAAATCATTAAAAGGAATAGACAAACACTCACTTCAGACGCCACTTTCATTAAATTGACGTAAAAAGCAACACAAATAAAGCTATGTTATTCAACCAACGAAATCAAAAATCATTTTCGTGTGGTATACCGAAAACGTCATTTAAATTATGAAGTGACGGCGTGCAAGTAAGTTGCCATAAACAATAAGAAACACTTGAACATTATCTTTAAAAAAAAGCGAGTTCAATTTCAAGCCAGTAATTTGACACAGGCTCCATCCGTTCCATTTCAAAGTAACATTCTGTACAAGAGGAATGCTCGGCAATAACAGTATACATTTGACCCTTAAAACGATACTCAAAACGTGATGCAATCGCAAGCCAGTGATTGATCTGAATTTCGAAATTCAAACAATGACAGGCTTGAGTCTATGTTCGGGCGAATCTGCATTATGTTTTGTGTCGTTTCGTAATAACACTCATTCCGTATGGTTCTGATGTCAAATTACTGTTTCAACCACTAATACCGAGTACAGTAGAGTACATAATCAAGTGTTCAGTATTGCAAGGCGTGTCGTGCGCAAACAATCAGTCGTTTACTTGAATCTAGCGAAGGCTGAGCTGAGCTCGTTGACGGCGGCGTTGGTGACGGCCTGGCCGACCGCCTGGTTGATCTGCTGGCGCATGTGAGGCGGCATCTGCCCCATGACGCCCGCCGCCGCGCCCACGGCGCCCCCGCCGCCCGGCCTCCTAATATTCCCATCACGTTAGCTATACTCAAATATCTTACATCGCAGGTACAGACAGCACATCAGATAACACTGCGGCATCTCGTGAAGTTGTAATAGGTGCTTTAGAGATAACAAAAAATGGATAGTCTGATGTGCTGTCAACTGTACTATACAAAAAGGTAGTTGACAACACCAGTCATACTTCTTTAGTTTATGCCCAGATCTGGGATATCAATCCACAAAAGATCCCATGACTGAATTCCGCTAAACACATATTTACATCATTAACTTGACATCTATTTTTACGAGCCGTCATAGATTCATAGTCATGGATTTTGCATGGCAAAGACAAACCATGACGTCAACTTTCGTTTGCTTTTGCCAACTCCATTGACTCTGATGTCAATCCTTATACAGCCAGTTGTAAACTGATTGGGCATTCAAGGATATAATTTGGTATTCTTTTAAAAAAAGTCGTGTCTTAGAAATACATATTAGTTAATGGTGTCAACTATCCAATACAACTTTGAGTTAAATGTCTATGTCTAGCACTCCAGCTTTCAGCTCTCACAGCTTCTCTGTAAGACATTCCTGAAGGTATGTAACGGCCATAATTAATTTTCATAATACATGTTTAAAAATCTGTTAAATTAGTTCTTACAGGGCAACTGTGAATGATTATCTGAAATCTGTTTAGTTTTAGAATAAAAGTTCAACAACTTATAAATTACACACAGTTTAGACGAATCTCTACACACGGCTCTAATACTTTTGTTATTGTACTAATTTCAGTTGAAGTTTATAAAAGAAGAGCGTCACACAAATCTGAAAGAAGAATTGTTTGAAGACCACACACACTAGTGTAAATTATCATGCAGTGCAGTTACATTGTTGTGTTCATATACCCACTTTTAGTTACAAACATTTAATCACATAATAATTCAGTTTTGAAAGAGCTAAGCAAGTAAAGCATTTTCACAATCTAGTTCCATCGTTTTGCTAATAAAGGATGAAACCGATGTGTACGCAGCGCAGAACGATGCTACAACAACTCTCAATTCATAATCCCTCTCTGTTCCATTAGGTATAAGGTAAAGGTATATTTTAATTTTGGATACACCTGTATTGGCCTATTGTATTGAAACAATTCTATCTCTCAGCAGGCAGCCGAAGAAATGTTCGATAAAACCACAACCTTCATCATCTTCATAAAAATATAATATCACGGATGTGTTAAGACAAAATAGACTTTTTAATTAAATAGTATAATATTCATGTATATAGAAAAAAACTATATTCGTTAAGGTATGGCTGCCTGCAGGAGATTCCCTAAGCACATTATTACGTACGAATAAGTATACTAAGAGTAGGTACATAATAAATTTCACTATTAATTTAATAAATTTATGGAAGCAATATTTTTTTCAGACGTATCGTAAGTATTAATCATTTATATGACTAATATTGTATATAACATATGTATAATTTCATTTTATAAATTTACCGATACAGTTGTTAACTTACTACAATCGATAACTTTTGATTTAATCAAAGCACTAGTCAAGATTTCAAAATTAAATCTGATTTAATAAAATATAAATTAATTTTATTGCATATTATATTTTTTGCTACATTTTAGTGTCGGTCGACCCAGCTATCATAATGTCGAAAGTTATTATCACTGAGTTTGAGTATTTGGTTAGTATTATGAATATTCAAATGGTATTAGTCTAATCTCGTCGTTTTCTAAAATCCTGTCTAATTTCGATGTCAGCTCAAGTATTTTATTAGAAAGCGAATAGTAACCTCAACCAACAAGATGATACCTGGGTAACCGGATAACCCTATGAAATTGAGTGCCACTACGTCTATTCAAACGAACCGATACCGCTTGTGAACGGGCAACTTGCGTCAAATGTACTAAGTTAACAAGCCCATCAGAGTTAGTACCTTATGTTCATTATAGCTTATTGTTAGTAAGATAGGTGGCACGCGCCGAAGCCGCTTAGCGCCGCCTGCGAAAATAACCACACGCTCAAACTCTTGCAGTTAATTAGAACTACTACTTTTAATAAATATTTTCTTACTACGCCACAAAACAAGGACAAGGAGTTAGCCCAAATAATTTAAATTGTTTTGAAACAATCACTGACATATTTTGAAAGCATACTGTTACAGATTTTTATGAATCATTTTGTGTAAATGATGACTACATCAGTTTTGTGAAGTTATCGTTGAAACTGATATTTAAACAAAACAAATGCATGTTAATCCCAAACATGACATGTTAAAGTTTGTAAGTTTAACCTTTCACCTAAACATAATATGAACCCTGTATAGTCAATTTTATTAATATAAAAGTAAATAATAAATGTATAATATGCATAAAATATAATAGAAGCATACTTCAGAATACATAACTATTATGGCTGTTACATGACCCGCACAAATGCCTCGGCTAGGCAAGCAAAGCCCACACAAATACACAGGCAGGGTTATCTTAATACCCACACACTAGTATTTAAACCACTTAAATTCGGATTTTATAGCAGACTTATAAAATACGAAATTATTTAGACTTTGTCAAAACACATTGTAGGTATCAATACTTGAAATACCATAACAAAGTTATGGCTAAGTACTTTAGGTTTAGAAGGGATGGTAAACAATCTAACAAGCAAATCTCTCCAGTTGGTCAACGCGGCCACGCTGACACAAAGAGTAAGTTTAGGCAGACCACCGACTTTTAGTCGGCCGATAGTTGGGCCCGGTTCTAATTTGTATGAAGAATCAATCGGTTTAATGTGTGCACTTTTATACATATCCATACTGATAAACAGGCTGACTCAACAATCGGCCAACTAATAGTCGGTGGTCTGCGCCTAGGCTAAAATCCACTCGCTCGAAAATTTTATTTCATTATCATTTCAAAGAAGAAAATAGACAGTTTGACACCATACCCCAATAATTAGAAACCACAACTTTTTTAAAAAAATACCCTTCATTCTTGTCTTAAAAACTTAATGAATTTTAAATTAACTGTAAATTACGATTTTTGGTCACATTGTAATTGAAAAAAGTAGTTTAATTGAGTAGACAAAATAGTGACGTCACTTGCTTGTAGTGCCATACCAAGTCTAGGTTTTAAAAAGTACGTCAATTGACTGGTGGTGTCAACATGTCTATTGTACAGTCACGGAATGAAAAGGTTCGTCAGTTTTCAAATTGATTCCTTCAACGAATCGCGAGCACATATTACCTTTTGAAACTATGTTACAGAATAATCTCGAGTTACAGAAAATAATCTTTAACTGTTCGTCAGTAAAGTTCAAAATTATTCATATCAAAGTTGTTTGACGATTTAACTTGTCAAGAAGATTATTATGATTGATAAACTAAAACCTTCTTGTTGGTTCAACCTGCCATTACCTATTAAATAAAAAAAACTACATTTTGTAACATTGCACTGATGGGATGGAAAAATAAACAAGCAAAACCTTATTCGTTAGCAAACGTCATATTTATTTAAATGTTAGCAGCACTGTTTCTTGCACGGTTATGTTGGCAGGTTTGACTCTTACAGTACCTAGTGCAAGCGAAAACCGACACTAAGGTGACGAACCTTTTCATTCCGCGACTGTACAAATGATAGAATTGATTGCCCAATTGGAGAGATAGAAAACTGAACCTCTACGTTCGTACAACTAGCACTTACGTAGGTATGAGCGGCGCGGGCAGGCCTCCGCCGGGGGCGGGCCGGCCGGCGGGCGGTGGGGGGGCGGCGCCGCCCGGCCGCGACGGCAGCGGCGGGGCGGGCCGGCCCGTGCCCGCGCCCGGTGGCGGCGGGGCTCCTCGGTTGCCGGGGCCTGTAACAACGGAAATGACGACAAGTCTTCAAAATTTTATACATCTCAATGTCAATGATAAGACACATATTGTGGAAGAGTCAAATAAAACTGGGAGTAGTAATACTGTCAAATTCATTGCTAGCATAATGGAAATGGTGGTGTATGTTCTTTCCAACCAAATGAGCCAAAACCTTGACTTAGAAAGTAGGTAAATAAATGATGTCCGGTTAATGCCCCCTACAATAATGTTAATTACAAAACAAATTGTCGTTCTTTAATTATGTTTAGGTTATTGTGTGATTTACTAACCATAGTTTATAAGACCTTTGTTACTAACACTTTTATGGGCTATGCCTGAAATAAATACCTTTTATTTTATTTTATTTTATTTTTATTTAAAACAACGCTTCAGAGTCCATTCAAGTCAGAGTCTTAACGGGCGTCGACTCGGGCGTGCTCACTGTTGCCATGGAGACGTCGCCGATGACGTCAGCGCCTCCTTACACGCTGGTAAAAGCTCATTCCACTTACCCTGCTGTGCAGGAGCAGCCCTTCGAGGCCCGCCGGGCGAGGGCGGCGAGAGGCGCGGGTTGGAGTCCAGGCGGCTCTCCAGCCAGTCGTTCTTGACGGGCCACCTGCCGGTTGCCATGGAGACGTCGCCGATGACGTCAGCGCCTCCTTGCACGCTGGTACACGCTCAGTCCACTTACCCTGCTGTGCAGGAGCAGCCCTTCGTGGCCCGCCGGGCGAGGGCGGCGAGAGGCGCGGGTTGGAGTCCAGGCGGCTCTCCAGCCAGTCGTTCTTGACGGGCGGCGGCACGGGCGTGCTGACGGTTGCCATGGAGACGTCGCCGATGATGTGCAGCGCCTCCTTGCACGCGTGGTACATGCGGAGCATCTCCTCGCGTTTCTGAGCTTCTTCTGGCGATTCCTCCATCATTTGAGACTGTAACAGGGGTGCATATAAAGCTTGAGGTATATGAAAGAAACAAATACATAACGACTTTATATCTCCGTAATTTCAGTGTCAGAAGTAACCAGACAATACTTTGGACTCTGAAACATGGATTATCGCAAAGACTTATCCCCGCTTTTAAAACGTGCAATATCATACCTAGCTTATCTTGAAGCTGTATAATTACAACTTAGATTACCTGGTCGCCAGAAGCGTACAAATGCGCAAGAAGTTCCCCATTGATAAAATCTTTGGCGTTGTTGATGATCAACATCATGATGGTCTTGGGCACCAGATCGCGAGTCGTCTTGGTCACAATGCGCATGTATGAGTCCACCAGGTTGCGGATCGTCTCCACCTGTCGCTCCAGCTGAGGATCCATACTGCTTGTGGCTTGACTGTCCGAACTCTGCAATCAAATAATACACAAAAATCAACCTTACGGTCAACACTTTCAACGCAGAGCCTCCGAACGCATGAAATCGAACGGAATTTCTTATACGTTGATGACATTTTGTTACTTTTATCTAACTCATGGGTGCGCATGCGATTTCTTGCGGTCGGATGACATGATTCATGACTTGTAGAGTCTTCCTGCGTGTTTACGTGTATTCGTAAAGCAGCGTTACCTACTTGTGAGACCGTGTGAGTTCAAAAATTCTATGTTACGTTTTCAACAGAATGTTTAAGAGAAGTTTCATATAAGTTTCGTCCAAAATTTTTAAGTATGTCTGCCGAATTTACTTTAGTGTCCCTTTTTACCCGAACTAAATTTGTAACAGTATCGATCATGTATTGAATGTATTCTGTAGATACAGCGCGCATGCTCATGGAATTGCATGTAAAATATCAAAACGACGAATTGCCTAAAATTACGTCACAACTACAGAAGAGATGTTCCAAATGGTAAATAGATAACTATTGTTTCTGATATAATCATATTAGTCAAGCAAAATTGTCGCAAAACAATGGAACACCCAATGGAGGTTAAGCTTAATATACAACGTGTCCCAAAATTCAAGGATAAGCCGGCGCCGCAGGGTGGACCTAGTCATGACTGCTTTAGGAAAAATAAGAAAAAAAATCTATCTCAATTATTTTTTAAGTTACATGATAAATTATGAAATTCGTCGAAAATTGACACCCCTTATGATATTTTACATTACCACGACTACAATTTTTCAAATACTTCAGTTTTTTTGTTTGTATCGGCAACTTAAGTAGTGCTGCTGTCCACCCCAATTCTTAAAACCCTCAGAATCCTTGCAGTTTTTACACAAAAGTTAATCAAAATATGATATTTCCTTAAAATTTTGAACGATTTTTACTTACACTCCACTTTGACTCGTCGTTTTGTAAAAAAACAGTATGAACACTACTGCGGCAAGTTTTTTATAAAGTTGACACAACTATCCAAGATTCCGAAATGGTATAATACTCTAAGAAAACTAGTCGCAAAAAAGATATGCGTACCATTTTTACAAGCATTTCGCTTGTAAGTTAGTATGAGATAAATCTTGCAACTGAATTTAAAACCAGTTCTCCTTAACCAATTGAGCTGAAATTTGGTATACTTGTGTAAGTACGATGACAATGCAATATTATGGTACCATTGAGCTGGATGGAGTATGGAGGTGGCCATAGGAACTCTTAACGAAACGGCGGAATTACATCTAGTTTGGGTTCGTTGGACTTGTCTTTTCGAGCACTTTAGTGCTAGACGATGTTCAGGGTCCTGATGATGAAGTCAAGAGGTGGCAGGAGCTGGCCATAGGAACTCCTAAACGAAACGGCGGAAGCTTATCGAGTTTGGGTTCGTTGGATTTGTCTTTTCGAGCACTTTAGTGCTAGTTGATGTCCAGGGTCCTGATGATGAAGTCAATTATAATTTTCAAACGAAGTCAAGCTTGTTTTTAAATTTTTTTTTTATTACAACTTTATTTTAAGCTTTTTAGTTGTTTCTCAATCTCATGGCCTAAGTGCTCGGGAAGACAAATCCAACGAACCCAAACTCGATAAGCTTCCGCCGTTTCGTTTAGGAGTTCCTATGGCCAGCTCCTGCCACCTCTTGACTTCATCATCAGGACCCTGAACATCATCTAGCACTAAAGTGCTCGAAAAGACAAGTCCAACGAACCCAAACTAGATGTAATTCCGCCGTTTTGTTAAGAGTTCTTATGGCCACCTCCATACTCCATCCAGCTCAATGGTACCATAATATTGCATTGTCATCGTACTTACACAAGTATACCAAATTTCAGCTCAATTGGTTAAGGAGAACTGGTTTTAAATTCAGTTGCAAGATTTATCCCATACTAACTAACAAGCGAAGTGCTTGTAAAAATGGTACACATATCTTTTTTGCGACTAGTTTTCTAAGGGCCGATTTTTCAATCATTGAATAACTTGACAAATAACTAACTAGCGAATAAAAATATCTGACTGTTTATCGGACGAATAACATTAGTTGTATTTTTCAATGGTCAGGTAACGGTCCGGCAGCTATCTGGGATTTAAGTTGCTAAGTTCACTTCAATCCTCTGCGAAGCGAGAAGCACTTATACGTTGTTACGTGTGTTAGAAGAAGACAGAAATGACTTGACATTTGTTTATTTGACGATCTGTGATTTGATTGACGTTCGTCATTCGTGGTATTTTCTTTCGTGATTTTGTTTGTTGTTGGGTTTTCAAATTTTATTATTGACTCTTTATTGCAATATTCGCAATGGAATCAAAAAAGAGAGAACGTGCAGCAAATTTTAATAATGCTGAAGTGCAGTTGCTTGTAAGTTTAGTAGACAAACACAAACAAGTTATTGAGAACAAGAAGACTGATGCAGTGACTAACAAAGACAAAGATGCGGTATGGAAAAAAATTGAAACTTCCTTCAATTCGTGTGGTATATCAACGAGTATCCGCACATGGAAAACATTAAAATTAAAATATGAAGGTATAAAAAAAGTTACCAAGAAAAAGTCTTCACTACAACGGCAGGAAATGTACCGAACTGGAGGAGGACCATCAAATGCTCCCGATTTCAACGACGTTGAGGAAAAGGTGCTTAGTATTTGCACCAATATCACAGGGTTGGAAGCACGTCACGACAGTGATACTATTATGAGTAGGTATTAGTTGAGATAATCTCTGACCGAGACTTGAAAAAATATAAGAATAATTCCTAATGTATTAATGCCTGTTATCGTCTCTTACATTTTTCAGTACCTATAACCTATGATGAAAGTGTGGACGCAACGGAGATGAACTGTGAAAATCAAAATGATGTAGAGAATGTTAACAAAATACCAGGTATGTACGGTATACCATCCAGTATTCCAGTTGAGCTGGTTGTGCTTAGTGACAGTCGGATGGACAGTGTTTTTATAATATACATAAAATCTACAATAAAGCTGTCAATAACAGGTACACATTAATGATTGCAAGTAACTAATTCATATTATACTTTTTATCATTTTAGATATGGACCAGTCATTGACCCCGAAAAGAAATGTAGAGGGCAATGAATTTATAAACGATATAATGGACCACTCAGTTATCCTAGAAATAAATAAAGAAGAAGACAATGAATCTCAAAAAGGTAATTACTGTTTAATTTTTTTAAATAAACATTAAGCTGTTTTTAGCAAAATTATGGACACTAGTTCATAATTTTGCTAATAACAGCCTAACAGACAATAGTCTCTGTAGGAAGTAAATAATAGACTTGTACATACATACATTATCATGTCTTAATCCCTTATAGAGCAGACAGAGTCCAAAGCCGCAAGACCCAAAGGTCATTAATGTGATATTGATAATAAATAAATAACATAAATGTGTAGTTTGATGTTTTAAAACTTTTGCTTTCAGAAAACAAATGGGTAAATTGGCATCCAAAGGATCTCAAAACAAAGATGTCAAATGTTATAAAAATAGACAAAGTCTCCAAAGCGAGTGTAACTGGCAGACTGGATAAGTTAAGTGCAGCCCGGTTGGAACTCGTACAGCTGCAAATCGAAACAACAAGGCAGCAACATCAGTTCACAGAAGATGAACATAGACTGAAAATGTTGCATCTTGCTAATGATGAGGCAAGAAAGCAAAAAATTCATGAATTGCTTGTACTACAATTAAAAAATAACAGTAGCGGACCCGTTTTAAATGACATGGTATAGGTATACCCATGCTTACCTGGACAGTCATTATAATATTGCATATTTCTGTACGGTTTAGGTTCCTACCTAATTATAATTATTATTAAAATAAAAATATTCATTAATAAAGAAGAAATAAAAAAATGTTTAAAGTAAAAATGTTTTTATTTAATTATTACTATTATTCAAGGAACTAAAATATTCTAACACTATATTTCTAGTTAAGTACCTTTCTTGTCCAGTGGGATTGGCAATGATGGGGTCAAATATTGGTGGTGGTGGAATGTGTACTTCTGGATCGTTTGGTGGTTCCTCTTCATTTTTCATTCTTGCTAAGTTGTGCAATATTGCACAGGCTACAATTACATCTTGAGCAAGTGGCAACTTACATCTTAATCCAATGCTTAACACTGGGAAGCGTCGCTTCCATACACCAAAACATCTCTCTATTACATTCCTTGTTCTTATTTGTGATTCATTATACAAACTCTGAGCTGGCGTATTTGGGTTTTGAAAAGGAATCAATAGGTAATTGGTTTGTTCATAACCACTATCACCAAGTACAATGCCATTGCCAAATTCACCATTCTCAAAATGGAATTTTGCCGATGAATTTGCAAATATCATACTGTCATGGCTCGAGCCAGGCCAACGAGCTACTATGTCTTGAAATATCAAATCTGACGAACACATTGCTTGGACATTAAATGAGAAAAAGCCTTTCCTATTTCTAAATACCTCTGCTGTGTTTCCACCAGGCGATTGAATCCTAATGTGGGTGCCATCTATGGCTGAAATCACTCTAGGGAATCTAGCTATTTTATAAAATTCTTCCTGGGTTTTTCTTATTGCTTCACTGCCTCTTGGCAATTGAATGAATGTTGGCCTCAAAGTTGCTATAGCTTGTGTAACTTTTTTTATTATATGGCACATAGTGGAGCTATGAATGCCACCAAAATCTCCAACAGTGATATAGAAACTCCCAGTGGCATAAAATCGTAGCGAAATAAGTAGTTGCATCATGGGTGATATACACTGATTCCTGAAAAATAAATTAAGTCATTAGTATGTATGATATTACATTGGGACCTAGGTAGGTAGGTACATAATTTATAAGTATTTATTGTAAAAACTATCTACAACTTACCTTTCTGTTTCGTGTTTGATTTTATCGTTTACCAGGGAAAGCAAATAAATTACAGTTTCTTTTAAAAGCCTGAATCGACGATGAAATTCTTTGGAATCCCACATAGTAAAGTGATCGGGCCTTGGTCTGACAACTCGTGTTTTTCTTTCAGGAGGGTTTAAATATTCATAATAAATAGCCTCTTCTTCTATTGCCAGGTCGTCAATAGTGTCGAAAATATCCATTATATTGATTAACAGTTTAATAACAAAAAATAACCTTAAAATAAACGTCAATGAAACCTTGACTTATCTAATGAATAAACGTTTATCTGGCCATCAAAGAGGCAAATACATTTATTCCTCAGATACGGTCGTTATTCGTCAAATAGAGCCTATTTGACGATTGAAAAATGCAATATTTTGTTATCTGTCAAATAAACACTATCTGACTGTTTATCTGAAGATTGAAAAATCGGCCCTTAGTTAGTATTAGTTTCGGTTAAACAATAGTTTAAACATTATTTTACAGTTGCCAATAACTTTTCAGTCTGAAGTATTTACTTTAAAAGAGTATCTAAAATTGAATAAAATAACATACAGTGTCCAATAAAATTATGTTTCAAGTATTTTTCTTACACACAAGCTACATGCAAGTCCATGCAAAAAGTTGTAATTTTTTCTTCAGTGTTTACCCAACCAGTATAGCCTGACCAGGAACATAAAAACCCTCGCCATGTTGCGGAAAACTAATGGTACTAATTTCTTTTAATGGCAACAGTAACTGAAAACTTCATTGTCATGTCACCTTGCATGTCAGTCTATTGCTGTCAAAGTGTAAACAAACTTTATTTTAAATGTGCGCAATTGATTTTGTGAATTAAATTGTTAAAATCTTTTTATAGTCGTGAAAGAAAAGTGGTTTACAATGTGTTAAAGTATTTGTCGAAGAGAAATACTAAGAGTTCGGACAATATTTTCATTGAATAATGTTTCCGACAAAGGTTGTCAAATTGACTGACATGTTTATCGCATAGTACAGTCCACTATGAAAATTAGCTGTGGTTTGTTTCAACTACCTATTTTTAAATTTTTTGTCACTTTCTAAGTGTTGAATTTTATGGAATTGGGAAAGAAGTACCGAGTTTGAAGCGTTCATGAGCAAATATTGCAGTTGAATATTCAAGTTCTGAATTTGATTATTGATGAATCCCAACTAATATTATAAATGCGAAAGTAACTCTGTCTGTCTGTCTGTCTGTCTGTCTGTCTGTCTGTCTGTCTGTTACGCTTTCCCGCTTAAACCTCGCAACCGATTTTGATGAAATTTGGCATAGAGATAGTTTGAGTCCCGGGATAGAACATAGGATAGTTTTTATCCCGGATTTTGAAACAGGGACGCGCGCGATAAAGTTTTTCTGTGACAGACAAAATTCCACGCGGGCGAAGCCGCGGGCGGAAAGCTAGTAATAAAATAAATCCTACTAGCTCGATTGATGGTTTATTTATTTATTTTTATTTTATTTTATTTATTTAAACCAGGTTACCTATAATAATATTTTTTCGTTAATTTATGAAAATATCAAATTAGCCCGGAATCCTGAATCCTGATACATAAAGTTAGCCTATTAATTTAACATAGGTACGACTGTACTCAGTGTTGCACTATCAAATGCAATTGACGCGCCTCTATGCCAGGGTTTTTATGTTCCTGGTCAGGCTATACTTGAACCATATTGATCCTAGTAAACTAGTAAAATATGCGTGAGAGTCACTTAAAAACATAACCTTGGGGCCGTTCAAGTATTANACACGTTGTATACATTGTTATTTAGCAAAATACTTACCAAACTCCCACATCTATGTTATGAAAAACCATACTAAACGATCGCAGTTATACATTACAACCCAAACCATTAAAAACCAGTCAAAATATCAGATTTCATTCCGGTTCGGAATTATTACTCAAAGTTCAGAATAAATTACTCGCATCTGTGATTTACACATGCATGTATCGAATTAAAATATCACGCATTATAATACAGCAAATCACCAAGGAACAACTATCCAAAATCCAGCAAACAAAGCCTTAAAGTACGAGTGACTTACTCTTCTCTTATTTTCACCTAACCCCAGGAAAGGCAGTAAGAACTAAAAATAAAAACATAAAACATGCTAAAACAAAACTGAATTAAAAAATACATCAAAAGTAGTACTCAGTATATTGTTTTCTTTCATTGCTAATTTGCTGCAATGACTCCTCCATTCATTATTTTCAAAAGTATAGATAACATGTTAATTAAACTCACCGAAACTCACAAACTGTATTGTTTGATGAATTCAATAATTCGTTAGAACAAAGCGTGTGTGATATCAAACAATGCATATGATTTATGAAACACTAACACATACATTTATTAATATTGAGTAAACAATCTACATGCCGCATGCTACATTTAAATGCTGTAATGCATTTTAAGTAAATATTAACATGAAAAGGTATACTGGTAGTAAAAAACACATAAATAAAATACATAAATAATAAGGAACAACTGACATTCTTGAAATTCACTCTTAGTGGAACATCAATGTCTAAAACCAACAAAACGCATGTGTCGTGTGTTCACCAATGTTGTTGTTGTGACAAGCCTACGTTGACAAACCTCAGATCCTTCACTCTGTACAGCATGGCAAAACAACAGATCGTATAACATACCACTGACATATACACTGTATCATTGGGTATATGTAAAACATACCAATACTTTCATAAATAATTTATAAAGCAACAATAGACTGCTTACATAAGCTTGTTTTAAATAAAAATAAGTACACTGTTAGGAAGGGAAGAATACTTGAAATAGAAACCATTACAGAGGAAGTGATAGTATAGAAAAATAAAAGAAGGCAGGCACAGGTGTGAAAAGTATTTACGTACCTCGTCACCGTTGGCGGCTTCTGACGTTTTCTCTGGGTACACACCGGCGCGGAGGAAAGACGCTTTCCATGAGTCGACGTCATCTTGGTTTTCACATGACAACTCTAGCTGCTTGTAGTCCTGTAGAAAAGCGATGTAAAATTACTGATTGAGTGATAATTCATCAGCCAACTAAATATGAATGCAGTCAATGAGGGATATCGTTTTAGCGCTCACCAGTTTGCGCCACTGTAGAGTAAGGTCCTGTCACTTGCTAGTAGCGAAGACAGTGGCACCAACTGGTGAGTGCTAAAGTTGTAGGAGGACTATCGCATTTGCACTCATCAAGATGGCGCCACTGTAGAGTAAGGTCCTGTCAATCGCCAGGGGTGCCAACTATTAAGTATAAAAACGATAGCCCTCATTACAGCTTTCCACTTCATTAGCTGCGACATGATTGAATTAAAGCAATTGTTAAACATTTCGGAATTTAAGTTACTTTATTTGGAACATACCTTGTATACGTTCCTGCCCTCTGGGTTGAATAGTGCGAACATGTGTCGCCGCGACATGAAGCCCTGTTCGAGGTCGCGCAGTTTGAGCCCGTCGAGTGGAAGCATGTACTTCTTCTCGCGTTCCTCTTCGTCCTTGTACCAGGAGATGCTCTCCGACGTTAACACGAACCAGTAATCGCGAGAGCCTCCTTGAAACAAACAACTATAGATAGTATTCAGAATATGAGCAGCATAACCAGGCAATGGTGGGCTACGTACCTTTCATGATACCAAGATTGTGTATGCACATATATCCTTTTCTAATCACCTGATTGCCGAGTGCTCGGTGACCTGACTTGGTTGCGTTCTCAGACTGGTTTTGTGCGCTGTGAAATTCGTAATTTACGTTTTATTTATAAGTCAAAAACAAAATTTAACTCAATTTTTCATTTCTAAGCGCCAATTAAAATGAATATGCCAAATAAACGCGTCTATCTACTTGTTACATTTTGAAAAGTAGTGTGAGAGATTATACTGAATTAACATAATTAATTAATTTTGAATTGTAAAAATCCGTAATGTAAATAAATTTCAGAACATAAAATATTGGAACATTGGCGCCTCACTGGTGGGCTTTTGAATGCTTGCAACACAGTGTCTTAACTAGCATGGACAGTATCGAAAGCTACTCTACCTTGTAGCCATTTGTAAACTGTTCCAAATAAAGATTCATTATTATTATTTATTACGACAATAACAAGTATGAAAATAAAATAAAGTAAGTAGTATTAAAAATGTAAGAAATCCACCACTAAGAATGCAGATTTTTTTACGCCAATCACTTGGCCGCATTCGTGCAGAGATTAGTTGGGTAGAGGGTGTATGTGTGTGTGTATGTTATACATATGTAGGTTATATGGAATCATTTCACACTTTTTGACACAGAAATTATATTATTTTCACAATGTGAACAACACATAACTTTGCATCATGGGATTTGCAATGTCTTTACAAAATATTATAGATTATCTCTTCACCAAGACCCTATATAGATTTAGCTATCAATAGAAATAAGATTTAGAAGCGAGAAAATAATTATCTTCTCGCGAAGACAGAAGGTGCAGTAAGCAGTAGTGCATCTTTGGTAATGCCCGAGAGCATGACAATGTGCAAAATCTATGTGCCCAATATTTGCGGTGCCTCAGTTAGGTATATTACAGCAGAATATTGCTCAATATTACCCAACATTGCCACCCACACTAACAGGCATTTAACTATTTCGTTTACTAGTTAATCGTCCAATTGGATGAAGTAGGTATTTATAGATAGTTGTTCACATAGATGAGCGCGAAACCAACTACAACTGTTTGCAGTAAAATTCCAAAATAGCACCAATTTACAGCCACGTAACATCGAGACAATGTTGACGAACAATACGAACATTTAACACCAATACTTGCCAGACCAATTAATTGTCGTATGAATCCAACAATACAAATTGTCATAAGAGCACACAGCAGGATTACTCCGAAACGCTGTTCGTGTAGTTTCGTATCTATCTGTAACTGTCTTTCAAGCTGACGTCTCGCTTTGCGTGAGAGGGAATATGGCAACATTCGAAACTTTGGATAACGTTTTTCGGAGTAGTCCCGCAGGTAACACAAGGCTGTTTTTTTTCAAGATCGCGGTGTAAAGAAAACTGACCCAAAAGCATAAAGTAATAGAAGTGGTAGTTACTTGGCGAATCCGATGAAGTCCTCGTGGTTGGTGTTCATGTAGGCCAGCTCGCAGTCGATGAGCAGCACGAGCTGGTCCTTGCACTGCTGCTCGCGCGAGCGCACGTGCGACATGATGATGCGCTCCGTCTCCTCGCGCAGCCGCGGGTACCGCGACATCTGCCGGGGGTGACGTCATCAACGGCCGTACAATACCCGGCGATAAATATTGCACATCGACCTTTAGAAAGAGACAATCGGCTAATTTCGGTTTCGTAGAGCGTTATCACAGTCGCACTTGAACAATGACTGACAATGACGTTTTGTCAAAGTGTAAACAAACTTTATTTTAAATGTTGCACACATTTTGAATTGATTTTGTGAATTAAATTGCTAAAAACTTTTGATAGTCGTGAAAGAAAAGTGGTTTACAATGTGTTAAAGTATTTGTCGAAGAGAAATACTAAGAGTTTGGACAATATTTTCATTGAATAATGTTTTGTCAATGACGTTTTGTCAATCGTATAGGTAGTGTGCGACAGAGATAACGCTCTACGAGCCGAAATTAACCGATTCTCTTTCCAAAGGCCGGCAATTTATTGCCGGGTACTGTAACATCTATTGAGTAGCTCGTGGCCCTTAAAAGCGGTCTTACACCACCGGAGTACCTAGTTCCAATTTCCGTTATAATACTTTTTAGATCCGTAGTCTGTTAGTGTTTTAAATCCGTATTTTGACGGATTCGGAGACAGTAAAAAATCGCTCATATAGAAAAGGCGATATATGATAAAGAGCCCATAGAGAACGTAATTTATGCAGTTTGCCGCGTTTTGCTTGGCTACTCATTCAATGAGCTGCTGATTTGCAATATAAGGTATCTATTCTATGAAGCAATTTGGTCAATTTACAAATTATGTAATTTATCGCATAAAAGATACTATGGGTTTTGAAGCCAGTAAAACTTATATAGTATATTTTAGGCGAACTGCATGTTGAAAGATAAGCCACGATTGGTACTTATACATATTACACTTTTAGCATGATAATCTCAAAATATTGGACACGCCCATAAGTCCCATAACAATGATGGATGTGAATTATCAATAACAAAGTATCATTTTACTGATTTATAAATATCTAGTATATTCATACAATGCAATTGCTTTGATTTAATAAATATGTAACCATAATATTAAAATTATCTTCCTCATAATAGCCCCATTTTATCATTTGTTTGTGTGTCAACCCATAACAAAATAATTAGTGATAAGATACAATCATAATACAATAATAAATAATTTTAATTTACATAGAAAATTTGGTATTTACCCTTTCAGTACAGAAACGGACGACATTGGATAACTCTTGCACTACCAAGTCAACGCACTTCAGAGATGGTTCCTTTAGCCGCGCGATTTGCTTCTTTACTATAGCCTCGAACGCCATGTCGGGGGTGAAGAGACCAACCTGCAGAATAGAGCAGTATTTTAAAGAACAAATTACTATGGCTCATCAGAAAACGTGTTGGAGCACATTCAAGACTTAAGTTTCACATAAATCTATATACTTATAATAAATCTGTAGAGAGGTCAATTCTGTACATGAAATATATTTTCAAAATAACTATCAGGGTGTGATTAGTGATCGATACTGATGCCAAAAATGCAATCAGTAAAATTTTTGTCTGTCTGTCTGTCTGTCTGTTCCTTATAGAAACAAAAACTACTCGACGGATTTTAACGAAACTTGGTACAATTATTCTTCATACTCCTGGGCAGGTTATAGGATACTTAGGAATTCCCACGGGAACGGGAGTTAGCGGGAAAATCCTTTTGTATGAAAAATCTAAACCGCTTAAGTTAGACGCTTGAAATTTGGCAAGAAGGTACCTTAGTAAACTTAAAGCTTAGTTACAACAGGATATTGCAAAATTCCCACGGGAACGGGAGTAAGCGGGAAAAAACATTTGTATGAAAAAATCTAAACCGAGTAAGATAGATGAAGGGGGTAAAACGGGATCCACGCGTACGAAGTCGCGGGCGGCCGCTAGTTTTTAAATAAGGTACATTTAAAATTTAATATGAGACCAAGCTTTTATAGTACACAACAGGTATAGACCTGAAAACGCTTTGTACTATAAAACAACTATTGGTATGGTGGCTCGCTACTGTTTGTTATTCAAAAGTTTTGATAGACATTACACTATCGATATACGCACGCATGTACACGTACACACACACGTAAAGCTCACTCGCCTTGTGAGTTGCAAGAACTTATTGATTCTAAAAGAAAATATGGTAGATAAATGCATACCCTAATACCGTGGATGTTTCTGATAGCGAACGCGATCTCCCTACGCAGTTCTTTCTCGTCGAACTCCATCTTGACAATCTCGAAAGGGAACCGTTCATGGAAGAGCCGGTTGATCTTGGCACCGCCCGACAGTTCGTTGGTGTTGATCTGAGCAGAACCAGAGCCTTCGATGGTGCGCTCAAAGTCTGTCTGTAACTGTTGAATCATCCTGAAAGAAAGATACCACTACCTAAGCTACGTGAACACAGTTTCTGTCCTTAAAATTACACAGATTGTTGAAAGCAAAGCATCAGCGTATTATTATAATACAGGGTTTTCCCCTTTTAAGGTAATTTTCTGTTAATAAACAAATAATTCGGAGATTGTACTATGATTGTTCCTTACATGAAGCTGTGGCCAGGCATTGACCGAAATGAATGAACGAACTGGAAACTATGAGTAATTGGTAGCAGCTACTTCTGCAGATTATCGCGCAGGCCCGGCAGCGTGTCGCGGATGTGGTTAGTGAGCTGCTAGTTCACACGCTGCAGAGAACCGGTCGTGAACGAATGAATGGAACACAACTCACTGCAGCATAGCCTTGGTCTTGTAGGAGGGATCGTCGTGCTTATACTGCTCGACGTCTTTCTCGAGCGCTAACTGTTGCTTCTGCAGCTAGTCGCGCAGCTGGGGTAGCGTGTCGCTGAGGCAGCCGGTCATGAATGAATGAATGGAACACAACTCACTGTAGCATGGCCTTGGTCTTGATGGACGGGTCGTCGGGCCGGAAGTGCTTGTACTGCTCGACGTCCTTCTCGAGTGCTAACAGCTGCTTCTGCAGCTTGTCGCGCAGCCCGGGCAGCATGTCGCTGAGGCAGCCGGTCATGAATGAATGAATGGGACACAACTCACTGCAGCATGGCCTTGGTCTTGATGGACGGGTCGTCGGGCCGGAAGTGCTTGTACTGCTCGACGTCCCTCTCGAGCGCTAGCAGCTGCTTCTGTAGCTTGTCGCGTAGCCCGGGCAGCGTGTCGCTGAGACAGCCGGTCATGAACGAATGAATGGGACACAACTCACTGCAGCATGGCCTTGGTCTTGTAGGAGGGATCGTCGTGCTTATACTGCTCGACGTCCTTCTCGAGCGCTAGCAGTTGCTTCTGCTGCTTGTCGCGCAGCCCGGGCAGCGTGTCACTGAGGCAGCCGGTCATGAACGAATGAATGGGACACTACTCACTGCAACATGGCCTTGGTCTTGATGGACGGGTCGTCGGGCCGGAAGTGCTTGTACTGCTCGACGTCCTTCTCGAGCGCTAACTGTTGCTTCTGCAGCTAGTCGCGCAGCTCGGGCAGCGTGTCGCTGAGGCAGCCGGTCATGAACGAATGAATGGAACACAACTCACTGCAGCATGGCCTTGGTCTTGTAGGAGGGATCGTCGTGCTTATACTGCTCGACGTCTTTCTCGAGCGCTAACAACTGCTTCTGCAGCTTGTCGCGCAGCTCGGGCAGCGTGTCGCTGAGGCAGCCGGTCATGAACGAATGAATGGGACACAACTCACTGCAGCATAGCCTTGGTCTTGTAGGAGGGATCGTCGTGCTTATACTGCTCGACGTCTTTCTCGAGCGCTAACTGTTGCTTCTGCAGCTAGTCGCGCAGCTCGGGCAGCGTGTCGCTGAGGCAGCCGGTCATGAATGAATGAATGGAACACAACTCACTGCAGCATGGCCTTGGTCTTGATGGACGGGTCGTCGGGCCGGAAGTGCTTGTACTGCTCGACGTCCTTCTCGAGTGCTAACAGCTGCTTCTGTAGCTTGTCGCGCAGCCCGGGCAGCGTGTCGCGGATGTGGTTGGTGAGCTGCTGGTTAAGCACGCGCTGGAGATATGGCGTGCCCAGCCGGTCGGCTATGTGTCGGTATGATGGGTGGCTGGAGAAAGAAAATACATTTTAGAAAGCTGCCACCAAAACCATAGAGAAAACAAATCATAAAATGTGGAGAAGGCAATTTTATTTGTCTAAACTTAAAGGAAGGAAAATACATTACCCATTGGAGTTGGATTTGGCTCCATAATACAAAAAAATCTAAATAATGCATCTATGCATCTGTGACATTTAACTTGAACTACTTTGTAAAAAAATGTAGGTCATAATAAAACATCTCATTCAAAACGGATTGTCAATTTAATAGCGACGAGATTGTACGTACATCGATAATAAACTATAAATATTGCCTTCAACTAGACCATCACTGATAAAGTTATTATGTAAATGTGTTTTTGTTATCACTTAATTAAAAACTATTTATTCATTAAAAACCTAATTTTCAACAACAAATATTTCAGTTTTCTGTGATAAGCAGATAAGATAGTCAGTCACCCATTAAACATCAATTAATTTCATTAAAATATTTTAATAAATACCTGAGGAAGAATTTCCTCTCGGCTGCGAGAGCAGCGGAGATATCCTTGCGTCCATCGATGTCTTTCTGGGAGCGGTTGACCACACCGATGTATCCACGTCGAAGCGGCAGCAGTTTATTTTCGAGCACGTCGCGGGCGTCCGTGCCTTCGTCCATCAGATCCAGCTTGGTGATCACACCGATTGTGCGAAGACCTGGTGATTAGAACGTCTTTTAGTCCTACCGATTCATCTTAATAATTCATTAGCTGCCTCACTTTCTGAGATGTAACGTAAGAAAAACTGTTACTCGGGGACAGAATTGCTGTGAATGATTTGACGTATTTTTTTACACCTATACTAATAGTCGTATTTACTGAGACAAGCATAGATGTCATCTCAATTTTTAACAAAACTGAAGCCTAAAATTATTTAAGCAGATACCCTTTTCCATAACTGAAAATGTATGTTAGTTTGCTTTTCTTTTAAGTCTAGTATTGTCACTGTTTTTTTGATTGTAAATATTTAATTAATATAGAAAACTAGTGCAATACTGTTATCTACTCACCTTGTGGGTCGACTTCTTTGGCAAGTTTCAGGGCATCGCTGTTAGCTAAATCAGTGTTAGCGGGCGTGACCGCAAGGATGAGGCAGGACTCGCGGCGGATGAACTGGAAGATCATGGCTTTGATCTGCTGCTCGATGTCCACCGGCTGATCCCCGATGGGCACTTTTGTCAAGCCCGGCAAGTCGATCAATGTCAGATTCAGCACTGAAAATAAATGTTAAATGAACACCTTGTTTTATACTTTAAGGGTGGATTCGACCAAACAAGAGTAATAATATCTCAGAATAAATCGTCAGTTTGACATATTTCCCATACTGAAACTGTCAATGTGCCGAGCCAGTTATACCAAGAGTTATTCTTGGATAAAAGTTTGATTGAATCAGGCTTTAATGTCACATAGCACGGGGCAGATCAAACAATGTAGAACCTATTTCAATTCCGATTCGGACGAATCAAATAATGTTAGAAAAAATCTAGAGCAAGTACTTTATTATTAATTTTCAACTTATTTTAGCCTTAAGAAATACTGTTTTAATTAATAAAAGTTGCTTTCCTCAATACATGAACAAGTGAAACTGATATTATGTCTTCCTGGGCTACTAATTGGCTAACAAAGTGTTGGTATTCAATTACTTCGTATAATATTACATTCTCCTCTGAAATGTAACATAGTCTCTAATATTCATTTTATATGTATACCACTGCAGCACTGTCGCTAACATTATCCGTCACATTATTTATTACGCATTATGGAGCAATAAAACTGGTAAAGTCGCCTTTATAACAGTTAGTTATTATTCATATTGCATAGATGACTTTTTTTTAATATTCATTAAGTAAGATCTAGTCATATCTTACGCCATAAGCCAGTGTTTACGCGGGCATCTCAGCAGTCTCTTGTAATAAATGTAAGGACACGCCCCGCGCTCTCTCCAAATATTTCTTGGGAACATTGCGAAATGCATATGAAATCATCTATGCTTTAAAACAAAAATGTTTGGACAATGTGCAATAAACTATTGTAAATAAATAACATTATAACAATGTGTTTGTTTGCATCAATGCTTATGCTCGCTAGGTTTTATTGCAGTGATGATAACATAGATTGTGCATAAATAGGAGCAACTCAAATTGATAAATTATACTTTGATATACATTTATTTACTAATCATTGTCAACAAAAATGGTCTTTGTTATTAATGAAGAAAGGTCGTAAATTACATTCACTTTTATCAGTAGGTCTTTACTCGTAATCGGTAAAATATTTTTTAACGTATTGCGTGAATCATACAAGATAAGATAAAGCGAGATTTATGTCACTAGACGCGCCAATTTGTTGAGGCATTTATCTCTCGGCACGTCTAGCTTTGTCACCTAATGATACATATAGTATTGCACACTTTCCACAAATAATAATCCATCATTAATTTTAGATAGAGGGTTCTTAAGACATGACTATTTAAGGTACAATGATAACTAGAGTGATTGCTAGCAATTATCGCAAGCGATTTGTACAAACTTGTAAGGACGACAGCACTTAGATGTAGTCAAGTATCAATTAAAACATATTTAACTCAATTACGATTGATTGGACTAAAATGGAAATTATTTGACCTTTCTAAATTAAAGAGTATTATTGTATCTTCTTTGTATCAATCAATCAAGAGAAAATGAGGTCTTAATGGTCCCATATTGTCCATTTAAAGAAATAATAGACAACAGAATTCTTGTTTCGATATATCCGTCTGTGCCCAGAGGTTAAATGAAAATAACGGCATTATTTCCAATTAACCAACTATTGTCTTAATCTAAAGTGCTTGCAGTTGTTAATTAAATTGACTCATTATTCGATGGCCTTACGGAGGAAAACCGTCATACGTCATGCTACAAGTCGAGTGCATGATAGATAACTAAATGCCCATTAAATACAAACCATTTAAAAAAAAAACACAATAGGTGTGACATTGCACATTGAGTCATTGACTTATTCCTTAAAAGAATTACATACGTATACATGTAGTTATTAGAGGTCAATCTACAAACAAACTATATTAACCTGTAATACAGTAGGCGCCATATTGCGGCTTCCATCAATACAAAGTGTGTAAGCACAAAGTTATGTTCACAATGTGATGGGGCGCTAAAATATAAATGTTGACATAAAAATGTGGTACACATCCCTTCCCCTTCCCCCTATGACATCACTATATTGGACTAACGCTTTGAATGTGAGGAGAAACGTAGACAGCGAGAATAAATAATCCTACCCTACCCTTACCACTAAATCCCTATCAGTTAAACACCCCTAAATTAACTAAGCTGTCTCTGTGCCGCAATACGTCCGTTGCCGGCGCCTACTGTCACACAGGAAGTCATTTGCCGAGTCGCTATCGCATCGGTATACTATCGGGTAAATTGTTTTCATTTCCGTGCATGATTGCCATGAGTTGACACCAATTCTCGATATAAAGTACAGATATAATTACATAGAATTTGTACTTCTGCAGACCAGTAGTCTAAGAGTCAAAATAGCTATGGTACGAAAATTGCGGGAATTGGATCTTATTTGCTAAAAAGAGTACAAAGTGGACCCTTGGAAATATCTGACATAGACAGGTGGATGGCACATTGCAGCATTGGCGTGGTCACTGGAATTTGTGGAATTCGATTCCCAGTCGGGTCAGTTTAGAGAAGTATAGTTTCTATATTAACTCGCGTTGAGGTGTGCACTGTGCAGGCTGAGGACCCCGGTAAAATGACGTGGCGCTAGGTGACTCACAACACGAGGACGTCCTTCCTCACTTCTAATGATATCTGGCGCATTTTCATACGTACTCATATCGTGTCATACTAACCATTAGGCGAGTAGACGCGCAAGTTGATGGGCACCGGGGAAATGCCTTTATTCGAGCCGGTGATGCGATCCGTCTCCGCTTCGATCTCCTGGCGCACTTCATTGAAGTCCACGAACTTCTTGCCCTTGCAATGCAGGAACTCGGCGTATTCTACAGAATTTCAATAAACATTATTATTTTACTAAATATCTAGAAGATACTAGACTATATTTACTAAAAATGCCTTAAAAAACCCCGCGTTTAAATAGGTAGTACCTTCTTAGTTTTTTATTGTTCATGTAACGTGAATTTTCCGCTATGCAATGCAAGATTACGTAAGTCATTATACTGATTAATCATTGCTTAAAATGATACAAAACAAAGTATAAACGCATCATCATTACATATAAATCATCATTACATTATAGTTAAAAGGAGTAACCTTTGATTAGTACTGATGCCAATACTGATTTATGTTTATGCAGCAACATTTATAATCTTGTCAAAGCGTTTATACAGGAGAGTATTCTGTAGTTGAGGGCCAGTGAACTTTGTTTTTGTGACTGTTAAATTGATTACCAAATACTTATTTAAATTATGCACAAAATTACAAATAACACTGTTGCTACTATACAATTTCACGCATTTTAGTCTTAATTGGAATGCTATTTAGGTACACAGCATGAAAAAACAACTGTTTGATAGGTATCTTATTGAGGGGCCATTGGGGGAAGACTTAACTCACTAGCAATCAATCAGCATTTTAGTATATGACTTACACCTTTTTGAATATCCTAATTACTAGCTCAATTATTTGTTTTAATAACAGCAGGACAATTAGCTGTTTTGTCATTCAGTGAGTGCTTGAAGGTTAATAACCAGCAATTAGTTCCATGCAAAACTACCTCTCATCCACTGACCAACAATGTAACTATATGAGACAGTAAAACTACGCTGTACTGTTATAAGATCATTTTACATTTTAATATTGTTCCACCTGGTGAACATGAATAACTAATTAGGAAGTAAAAATAATTGTGAAACATAATTATAAGAATCATTAAGATCTTATTCATTTTTGATGGTGTTTTTCGTTTTGATTTGTTTTATGAATAAATGTTTACTCAAAAGTTGTAAGAACTTTCTTATTCCAAATTAATACTTAGATTTATCAATAAACATACCTGCATTTCCATGTATCAGCTGTAGAATCAGGGGGCGACGCGTCACTATACCAGAACCACGAGGTAAGAAGTCTCTGCAATAAAGACATAGGTCATAAAGAAACCATCTTTATAGAACACTAAAGAATAGCAGAATAAAAATACCTATTAGGGTAATGGTAGAGAAGACATTATGACTCTTCCTAAATTACAGGTTTCATTTCGAATAAAGCATGGGAATAATAAAATTATTCTGCTAAAGGACATTTATAACTAAAAATATTTTTCTTCGAGTAAAATATAATACGGAATCTGAAATTACAAGTAATTGTGGCATTACTATTTTTCCTTAACAACTAGGATTAACTTACTTTATGATTATGGAGACTTAAAAAACTCAGTTTTGATTGAACAAGAAATGCATTTAAAAAAATATCTTATATTATAAAGTACTGGTTATCAGCAAAAACTATTTCTTATCTAATAGCAATCATACATAATCCTTGAATTTAAGCCACTTGATGTCAGACAAATTACACACCATAATGACTACCACTTGATGAGTCACACTGGTCTTATAATGATCACATTTTATATCTACATAAGCATAATTTACACAAGTGTAAGAAGCTATAACATTTATGTTTCAATTCAAATATGTGTAATTGTGAAAACATTATTATATTATTCAATAGTCCAGTTTTAGTTTTTACCAAAATTAGCCATCAAGACTTCTCCCTTTGGTATTTTTTAATTGTTTATTATAGCTTTATATTTAGCCCGCTAAACACTAGGGAATTGTCTACCTTGAATAAATCACACAACAAAAATACAGTCATACCAATAAATAGTGTATAAACTTTTTCTGGATTACTTAAAAATACTTTTTCTAATTGATATCTACAATAAATTTCAACTTCTATGTATTTTCTTTACTTTTGTGCAAGAAAATTTTGACTTTGCCTGCCAATTCATCTTGTGACGAAAATGCATTTATGAAATTATATTTATGTAGTATGATAAATCATAAAGGAAATACTTGAATGAACACAATGAAATGAGAGTACACTGGTTCCTAACAATAAGATAACAAATATGATAGTAATACAAACCAGGTCACTCTATTGGATTGAAGATAAAGTATCAAAGATGCCATATCCAATCTCTTACAGCTCAAATAGACAGCAATTGAATTATAACAAAAAGAAAAAAATTGTGTATTTTGGTATGTTGACTATTGATTTCAAAATTATCTATGTACATTATCTAGAAAGGATTGATTTTCACTCAGAAAATAGTAAATGTACAATAATTGTAGGTATTGACCTACACAGGTGATTCATGTATGTATACAATAAATACAACATTTTCTTTTTACTTAGGGAATATTGTTAGTTTATTTTCCAATTTCCTAAGAAATTTTATCATCATCACACTAATGGTAAAAGAACCTACCTAAATAAAAATACTTAGCTTGTTCAATAGCCCCAGACCTCTGACCAGGCCAAACAAATACACACAATAGGATTTCACTACTACACCAAGGAAGTAATTGTACCTAATCATATTCTTTGTTTGATGATAATACAATATTTTTTACTAGAAAGTTACCACTTTGTAAAACATTACCACAAGTGTATCTGAATAATTAAACTCGCCAATTACTTGTAGACTTACCTGCCTACAAAATTTTCTAATACCGAACTCTTTCCAGCGGACTGACCACCCACAACTGCAATTTGTGGAAGATCCAAAGACATGTGCACGCCCATTTGCACAAAGGCATCTTGTAATTTGTTTACAATTGGGATCAATTGCTGCATTCCAAAATTCCCAGCCATTTTTACTAAGTAACATTAATTTTAACTCAAATCACTAAAACACTTGCTCATCATCAATTCATCATCGATAAACTAATTTATTTTTCAATATGGTGGTGGGTGGTTACGTCGCGTTCCAATTCTGACGGGCAGTGATGTCAAACTCAAACTGTCAAAAAGAGCTATCATGTAGCGCTGTACAGCGCTTAGAGCAAAATACCACATTTCAGTTGTAAGTGGTTTTAAGGGTTAACAAATAAATAAGTTATTTCGATATCTTCGAAAATAGTATAGTATGTATGTATTACAGTAACAAATAATCAATTAAAGTCATTCACATTTTAAAGTACATAACCAATCAATAACATTAGACATGCGCACTAAATCTAGGCCAGTATACGAAAATAATATTATGTTTCACGAATCGTTTTGAAGCTTAAAGAAGTAACAGAATTAGAAAGTCTTCAAATAATTTGTAAAATCTCAAATGAATTCAAAACTACTATAAATATTCAATAAAAAATACAACCGAAACATATTACACTATTTGAATTAAAAATTGTTAATTAATATTAAGGGAGACTTTCCTCTCTTTAAATTTGATACCTAATCATTTTTTTATCCCACTTATCGATCTTTTTGTTACAACTTATAACACAAATTATATACCTGGGTAATTATGGATATAAATAATATAGAGTAGGTACTGATACTTGTTTTCACTAATGTAGCAACAAATTATTATTAAATGAAAATTTTATTTGATATAAAATAGACTACGTACCTGCCCACAAAATTTTCTAACACTGAACTTTTACCAGCCGATTGTCCACCTACAACTGCTATTTGTGGCAAGTCCAACTGCATATGCACACCAAGTTGTGTAAAAGCATCTTGTAGCTTATTCACAATTGGAATCAATTGTTCCATTCCTAAATTCCCCGACATGGCTGCCGGTTTTCTCAGGCACTCCTCGTTCTATGAGCTTCTCCGCAGAACTTCGCCTACTGATTTTTCGTTCATCAATATGATCCCAACGGGTATAAAGCGCATGCGTATGCATTAGAAGAGATCGACCGTTATTGCCATCTCTACGAGAAAAATCATTGAATTTCCTGGCTTGCTTGTATTTTCACTGCCACCATCCATGCAATAAGTTCTAGGTAGGTAGGTTTAGGTAATGCTTTAGCTCGGGTAGGTATTATTTTACACAGTTGTATGCCAACTGAAGCAAATATTGCACCACGCACGGAAACACGAAATAGTAGACATATTAATACCTAGGATATTGTAAAAAAAAGAGATAAATGTTATCTAATTGTTCATTTGTTACGAGGTATTAGTACTATACATTACCTATCACAGCATGATGATTTCGTGCCATAATTATTATGCAATGTAAAACATGTCTGATTAATTAGTGTAGTATTGCATGATTATTATTATTCTATTTATTATAATAATATTAGACCTCTTCCACCCCTTTGGCCAGAGAAGGTGTGGAAAAAAGGCTAAATGATGATTATGCTTTATATTATGATATTATACTACATTAAAAAGAATATTCGCTATAGGTACCTAAGTATACGTTCGTATGTCATAAAGTTTTGAACCACGTACAGAAAATATTTTGAACAACATTTCACTATCTTAATAGGAGGAAAGAGGAGAATATAATTTTCTATACTGGAATCTATTTTTACCTACAGACTATATAATTTGGACCCATCTACGGACGGGTGGGACGGCATTCAATTTCCAATAACAAACAAATTACTAATGATCATAAAACTTAAATATCATTGGACATTTTACATTGCGTCATTTTCAAATGCAATGTGAATTTTAAATTTATAGCGGGAATCGAACCCGTGACGTCTAGCATGATAGTAGTCCCTTACAAACCACTATCAATAAACAGCCGTCCAATATAACTAAAATTCATTAACCCATTGTTCGAATCATGCAAGCCATGCTATAGGAATGGCGAACGGCAAAATGTTGGCGGAAAGTTAGTTCATGAGTCCTCCTGAGTCCGTTAATGACAAAAAATGTCCAAGTAATAGAAGAAGAGGAGAAAGTGGGACACATTTAATTTATATTTATTTATTTTTTAAATTTTGGTCTTAGCTGGCCCTTTTGTAGAATTAGCCCCCCATATGTCAAAAAGTCAAAGTCAAAAACTGTCATTTGTCAAAGACAATAATATTAATTTTTTTGAACACAACTGCGCAAAGATAATTGAAAGATAAACGCTCATTGATCCATTCTTTTGAAATCATTACATTTTCCAAAGACATTGAAAATCTTTGTAGACACCTTTGTATGGAATACAGAATTTTGGCTTGAAATTATACCCACTCACATAAAACATAAACAAGCGGCCATTACAAAAAGTTAAGTGCGCGTTGAACAAGTTTAATTTATTCACATTAAAATAGGAAAACGACATTTTAAACCACTGTTCAATGCGCGTGTTTTTTTTTGTTAACGTTAAAGATGTTTCTTGAACAAGATAAATTCAAAATTGTTGATAAAAAAATCGTAAATCCGCGGCTGCGGTTTTAGACAAAAATGTTCATGGACCAACCTTTTTTGATTCAAAATAGCATTATATCATCTATGTCAATTTTAAGGTTTTTCCGATAGAGGGCGCTGTGACGCGTCTTTGGTCTTTGTGACGTCACGCTATTGATTGAAAAGGAAGGAGATCGTCTTTTGGAGACGCCATCTTAAAATAAAGTGATATAAGTTTTTGGTAGCGTAGAGTATAGTTAAAATCTAAAGTAATCTTTGTTAGGGTATTAGCATTTGAGCTTAAATAATTTATATATTGTAATACCGAGAATAACGGACCAAGGTAGATATCTATTTTGCTTTTGTTTGCGATCTATCTCCAAAAATTAGTTTGTTTTTACCGTTCTTCTACTTCTATCTTGTCAGTACCGTTATTCTGTGCTAGATTTTGGTTACTTCTGAAATCTAAATGTGAATAATATACACCAGTGAATGAAAAACATAAGTCATCGATCCAGCGTACGGATGTAACACGTCAATAAAGCTCTGAGGGCAGGGCTCCTATTTGTCCCTGTGCTGTGAAAGTGATTTGTGATACAGTGATCGGTGCTTACTTTGACCTCATAACTGCTGAATTGTGGTTGATAAAACGTAGTAACGAATTGCAATTTGTGTAGAAGATTCCGTAGTTGTTTGCATTACGTGATTATTACAGTTTGAAGTGAAGTGTCGCTGCCCTGGTTGCAGTTGGTGGTTGGTGCGAGGGTGACCTCCTGATGGTGTGTACATCGCAGCATGTCTGCACTCTCGACGCCGGGCGGCGGAGGCACTACGGCGCAGACGAAGCCGACGTCCGGCAAGCAAAAATATCAAAAGTTGGATATCAATAGCTTGTACTGCGCCAATAGAGTGAGTAGTTTTTGAACCAGCCCAGTATTTATTTCGAATTCAATTTGTTGTTTCATTACTATGAGCTATGATGATCCCATTCCGCAAACATCTACAGCCCTCTGCTACTGTGGTTAAAGGGAATGCATCTAATAAAGTTTTGCAAGAAATTGATTAACAATAATAAACATAAAGAAAACTCTCAATTAGCATTCATCCATGACAAACATTGAGGATTCTAGCTGTTCTTATGAAATACAGGAATGCTAAACTACATTCAACAATATAAAATTACTGTTACAGTTGAATGCACTGACCTTCAGGTTAGAGCCTAATGCCTATATTCATGTAATGTGACCTTGTTCAACCTGTAGGAAGCTGTGAGTTGAAACTTACTTCTTACAAAGTTTTCTTTATTACTAGCATTCTTAGAATTATGTGACTTTGACTACAGTTAAATAAATTCATTCTTGGAAAGAAAGAAAGAAAGCATAATATTATCAGAAACAATATTATCTATGTTGGAGGGTCATTGACCAACTTTCCTGATGTCATTGTTGTCTCTGTGCCAGATGTTACTTTGTATTTAAACTACCTATCATGAAATTATTACAATAGATTTGGCATTTACTTAAAAATAAAAGAAAAGAACCTATTGACTTAAATAAAAAGTAGGATATGTGTTGATATTTTACATTTCACATTAGCATAAAACAATTTTTGGGAGGACTGCCTATGGAGAGTAATGTTTTTATGTAATGTAACCCAAAATAAAGTATTTACAAATATTAGGTTTATACATAACAAATCTCTAAAACATTGATGTTTATAAAATAAAAATATTTGTATATTTTGAAAATGATATTTAATATTATTGTATTTTCAGAACGAGAACTCTGAACCGTCCTCAGTAAAATCTCAACTAAGCCGCAAACATGGAATGCAAAGCCTTGGAAAAGTACCTTCGGCTAGACGCCCACCAGCTAATTTGCCTTCTTTAAAAACTGAAACTGGTCAAGATCCAAACGCTAAGTAAGAAATTGATATTATTTTAGTAGTGCATGAATTTTTAAATCTTAGCATTGATTGAATTGCAAAGATTCTCATATTCCTGTGATCTGGTCTATGAGATCCAGAGTAACCCTATTGTTGTGTTAACTATGTCAATGTATTAAATGGTTTTTGAACTCACAAAGAAAGTAAGATGAACAAATAGATGTTACTGAGTTTGTTGTAGTGATCACACAACATCTTGTGTAGTGAATAAATTACTCATCTTTTCTTATTGTTTCTAAAGGTTAAGTAGTCTATAGATTAGATTTAATTCTTTTTTATCCAGAATTATTTGTATTCAGCCTCTCAAATGTAAAACTTATTATATTTCAGCTCTATTTCTGCTGCTACTACAACTGTATCTACACCAGCAACATGCTCTTCTCAAACTATAGTAAGTAGTGCATAATAAATAGATTTCTTATGCATATTTTCACCATCATCCCTAATTTTTAAGTGACCCCTATGGCAACAAATAACAGGAATATTGTTTACATAGGGGTCACTTAAAAATTAGGGATTGATGGTGAAAGCGGGCATTAGAGTTGTCTAAAATGTGAAAAACCTATACAGGGTGTTAGGTAAATGGGTATATGAGCCGACACTAGCCCATGTTAACATGGGCATATAAATGGTATGGTGAAGTCAGAAAATTGATATCTTCATTTTAATTATTTTTATTTCCATACAAATCGGATTTTATAAAATTTATTTTGTATGAAAATTAAAAAAAATAAAATGATGATATCAAATTTCTGACTTCACCATACCATTTATNAATGGTATGGTGAAGTCAGAAAATTGATATCTTCATTTTAATTATTTTTATTTCCATACAAATCGGATTTTATAAAATTTATTTTGTATGAAAATTAAAAAAAATAAAATGATGATATCAAATTTCTGACTTCACCATACCATTTATATGCCCATGTTAACATAGGCTAGTGTCGGTTCATATACCCATTTACCTAACACCCTGTATAAGATGCCAATAATTTGCTACAAGAAGGATTAATATTTTTGACTGCCAATGGTAAAATCTCGTACTTAAGACTTAAGTTCATGTGATCATGTACAGAGTCCTAATATTATGTATGTATAATCTCTTCCATTTGAACTTGGCCTGAAGGTTTCAATATACGACAATTTACGTAACATTGTATACCCTTCACTCACATTTTTCAAATATGGTACTAATGAAATGCAATTCATTTGCAGACTACAACATCGAACAGCGGTGTTCTTGCGGGCACGGGCCCAGGCGGATGGGTGGCGCTGCCGCCGCCCTCGTCGCCACACTTCCGCACAGAGTTCCCCTCCCTGGAGGCTTCGGCTCAACCTTCACATCGCTCTTCAGAACACTCAGTACCTCAGCCACAACTCAGACCACAAAGTAAGAACTTTCACAGTTTGAAAATATAGCATGTTATTATTTTTTATTGCTTTGCAGTAATGGATTTATTCTGATGAGATTTATAACTGACAACACTTGTCCATGACTATTATGCAGGCCACTTCCTGTTCAGTGCTGACACTTGTTCTCGAGAACTGCTTGCATATTTATGATACTATGACCTGGATGCATTGAAACAACTTTCAGTAGCTATCTTAAACCTTATTTTCGGCATACTCATAGATTTGTGTTTGTTTCGCAGCGGAAGGCAGTTGGACGTGCGGTGGCACGGCCGGCGTTCGCCAAGAAACTACATCCTCACCCGCCGCCGCGCCCGCCTCGACGCCTGCCGCACAACAAACACCCGCCTTCCGTGCAATTCTGCCATCCTTCGTAAGTAGCTACAGCTCTTTATTACATTTACGCATCAAATTGAACATCAAAAACAATACTTTTTTGCCCAGTAACTTGAAAAGACTGGATGCAATTACAATGAACAGAACTAAATAATGTAACATTTTGTTTTATTAGTGTAGCAATATTTTCTTTTTCACATCCAAGGCCATACAACATGTAATTACAACATTTATAATAAATGTTTATTTTTAATTTCAACACTTTCTACACGAATGAAGATAAATTACGAATTGTTAAACAAGGCTGCGGCCTTCTGGTCTGGTGGTTCGCATAAAAGGCGTACCACTTCTTGCGATCTTTACCACTAGCTGCAGTAACGAGCTAGAGTGTATTTCTTTCAGTGGTGTCTAACTTGAAGCAATATGATGCGACAATAGCCGAACAGTGAAAGTTAGACTGGCCGACTCGTGATCCAAAGAATGCGGGTTCGAACCCCTTGCCGCTTGACTATTGTGGTGAACCCATGACACAAGCATATTTAGCTTAGTACGAGCAATGAGGGCTATCGTTTTAGCGCTCACCAGTTAGCGCCACTGTAGAGTAAGGTCCTGTCACTTGCTAGTAGCGAAGACAGGGGCGCCAACTTGTGAGCGCTAAAGTGGTAGGAGGACTATCGCATTTGCACTCATCAAGATGGCGCCACTGTAGAGTAAGGTCCTGTCAATCGCCAGGGGTGCCAACTGTTAAGTATAAAAACGATAGCCCTCATTAACGGTACTAAAAGTAATTTGTGCATTAATAATTATAAATAATAAATAAATCTGGACAATTTCACACAGCGCCAGCTAGCCCCAAAGTGAGCAACTCAATGCTTGTGTTATGGGTGCTAGCTTAACGGATATACTACTTATAAACTTATAACTTTCTATTTAACAGCTGATGAAAGGTAGCAACGGTAGCGGGCTCGGGCTGGGCACGCTGGGCACGCTGCGCGACGGGCGCGCCGGCGGCGGCGGGCGCGCGGCCCGGCCTCCGCCCGCCACGCCGCGCGCCGTCGAGGTGCTCACGGCGCGCCCCATCCTGCGCGACGAGCAGATCTCCTCGCTCGACAACATCTCCCGCGACGCCGGCTGGGCGCAAAACGACGACATTGATTACGAGTGAGTTTCAGCACAGAATAATAATAAGTACTACGTACAGAAGTTTTACTTCGCGAAGGTATTTAAAAAAATGTATGCTCAATGTCATTAACAATATGGTGTAATTTAGCTTGTCTCAAGAGTCAAGCAAGTTTGTCAGAAGTTTTGTTGACAAACGTCAGTGATCGGTACTGCGCCCAAGCTATAGGGCTGACTTCGGTAAAATGATGTGACGTGAGGTGCCAATCTGCAGAAAATGGCGGAGCAAATACACGATTTAGCATGAATTATCATGAATAATATTAACTACTTATTTACCTCTCAGTGTCTTGAGGCAACTTAAAAAAGTACATTCTGTGTTTTTATTATTATTTAGGCAGTTAAATACTGCACAGTATTTAGTACACCATTTTCTTTATTTTTCTGTACCTCTAGTACGAAAAACTTTCGAGTTCGTTTCGTTGCGTATTCAAAGTGTCATCGAAAAATTTTGTATGAAAAATTAAACAGCGCCCCCTATATTATAGCCGCCCTAGGGGGCGCTGTTTAATTTTTCATACAAAATTTTTCGATGACACTTTGAATACGCAACGAAACGAACTCGAAAGTTTTTCGTACTAGAGGTACAGGTTTCAGTTCGAGTGGACTATGACTGGTGACCGATCGAACGAGTGGATGTGATCATTTACTGTTTCTCGTGATACTCAACTCTTTTGTTAAACGACGTTGACGGCAACGCGCGACGATGTGAGACGAGACGCGGGTGATACGGCACCGTCGCGCGCTGGTGTCCAACGTCGAAGCTGACGCCGAGCAGCGCGCGGTTTTGTAAAACGAACGTTTTTGAATTTCAGTCAAAAATTGGACTTCTCCGACGGAGAGTCGTCTGCGCCGAGCAAGAGTTCGAATAAAAATAATAACCGGGCCAGTATTGAACCTGAACGCGTGGACGCGAAAGGTCTGGAGCAGGGCGACGAGGACCAGATTTGGGCGGAGCGCCGACAGAAGCATAAAAATGACATGGTACAGATAGCGGCCCGCGGGCGCCAGCGCAAGGAGGAGGAGCAGCGGCGGCAGATGCGGGACTCCGCCGCGCCGCCGCCCAAGGACCGCGAGCCCGACGCGCGCGACAAGGAGCGCTCCGACAACCGCGACAGGGAACGCCCCGACAACCGCGACCGGGAGCGCCCCGACAACCGCGACCGCGACCGCATGGACGCCCGGGACAAGGAGCGCGGCGACGTTCGCGACAACAGGGACCTCAGGGACAAGGATGTCCGCTCGGATAACAGGGAACGCGATCGCATGGACAACAGGGACCGGTTCGATAACAGAGATCGCGACCGCGACGGCAGGGACAGGGAACGGGACCGCGACCGTGACAGGATGGACAATAGAGACAGAGGAGGTCGCATGGATAACAGAGATCGTCAAGAGAGCGGCAAAGACAGAATGGACAACCGCGACAGAGATCGTAATGATAATAGAGAACGTATGGATAGCGACAGATTCGACAGAGACAGAGAGCGCGGGGACAGAGACCGAGATCGCGATCGCGACCGTATGGATAGAGATAGAAACGATCGCGACAGAGATCGCGACCGCGACTTCCGAGATAGGGACCGGGATTATGGCCGCGATCGTGATCAAGCCAATCCAGGTTTCTCGAAAACTTTCCAAGCAAATATTCCGCCTAGATTTTTGAAGCAGCAGCAAAACCGGCAACAAGAAGATCAACACAAAGGTTGGGCGTTCGCATCGAAGCCGGCTCCCAGGCGGCAGGATCCGCCTCCCTACAATGCGCCTCGGCACGCCGCACACAACGGCCGTAGATCTTATTCCAGGTAAGCAAACAGACTTACCAGGTATTAACTTGACCATTTATCATTCCAATGCTATGCTAATCTTTAAACTAATGAAATGTTACAATGATAAACTATTCTTTTTTACAGAGATTATTCAGATCGTGAAGACGACTTCCGAAGAGAAAAAGATGGACCTGGACCGCAATGGCGATCTGAAATGCAAGATTATGACAGGTCCGGGAGAGATTTGGACAGATCCAATTCTAAAGACTCGTATAAAGACTACGAGTACAAGGACAGGCGAAACGAGTCAGACAGAAAGTCAGTTGACTCCAGTAGCACTATTGAAAATTGCAGTAGAACAGCTGCTGACAAGTTGACCGAAGTATTTGAACGAAAGAGTATTGGGCTTACCGAGTCATTTGGATCTTCAGATTCGTCATCCCAAGCGCCAATCTCCGAAAGGCGCAGTACGCCGCCCTCGAACTTATCTCAACGCGAGTCATCGGAAAGAGACTTCGGTAAAACTTCTTGGGCTGAAGTATCTCAAGATGAATCGTCGAGTAATTACACAGCTTTGAAGGTAGAAAAAGTTGCATCACCGAAAGATATCGACCAGAATGTCAAAGAGCCTGTAGCACTAGAACCTGAAATTGACAATAAGGTGACAGTTTCACAACCGCAGCAACCAGCGCTTCCGCCGCATGCAGCGCCCGCGCCGCAGCCCGTCAGTACTCCGACTCCTGTAATGCAACCAAACCTACCCCCCAAATACAATAATCACCCTCCTAGTGGACAAAATTTCAGCCATCCACCACAGCTATCTCAAGGTATTGCTTTTGGAAATAACCAGCCCCAACCCATTCCTTCTATTACTCAATCTCAACCTTCTTTCTCTGATAACACTCAATCTATTTCTAAACCTATAAATCAAGCACTTCCTAAACCTAATGAAAATCTCATATCTCCCCAACCACAAAAGCAACCATCTGACGTAGCTCTGACTGTTAACAAGCCAATGTTTTCCTCTCAAAAATCTGAGAAGGAACTTTCAGAGTCCGAATCTATAGCATCTAAGTCTAGTACTGATCCGACCGGATTAATAGGAGTAAAGGGTAATGAAACACTCTCAGTAGAATCTCTTCATGGTAGCATGGATTCTCAAAAGCGATCAGGTGACGATAAGAGGAATGAAAGATTCGGTAATGAACAACTGAACAAAATGCCTCTAAAGGAACCTGTAGAGCGCAAGTCTAGTGGATCTGGATCTGAAAAGAAGGGAAGGGGATACGGTAGTGGCGGATATGCCGTTTACAACAGGGGTTGGGGACCGAGAGAATCTCGCGGGCGGCGATCACATCGTAGCTCTCGATCTAACAACAGAGCCAGTGAATCTGATGGCTCCACTGATGGTGCTCCAAACTCCGACCGAAAAGAGAGAAGTAGAGCGCCACGAAGTCCTCGCGGGCCTAAAAAGAGTGATAGGCCAGAGGATATGAACCGTCCGCCTCAGTCTGATCAGGCTCCGTCGATGTCGGATGGAATGGAAAACAGAGAACCTTTTGCGCCTCGAGGGCAGCCTTCACGACGCGGCCGAGGAGGTTTCCAGGGCGCGTCACGCCCGCCGGCACCTGCTAAAAGAGTGACTGGTTATGGACCGCCAAACACTAAAAGTCCATTCAGTCAAGCTAATAGAGCTGTAAAAGATGATGAAGGTATCAAAGACAATCTGCTGGTGGACGATAAAGGTAAAAATAATAACAAACCACGTGCCGGCTCGTCGACCGGTCGAGGGCGTGACCGCCGACCCAAAGGTGCCGGGCCCCTTAGTGGTGAAGATGAGAATTGGGAGACTACGTCAGAACATTCCGAAGGTGGTGGCAACAATGGCCGTCGTCGATCTATTGGTGGCAGGCAGTCGGGTCAATCTCAGAAGAATCAAGGACGAAACCAAAATTCTGGTAATCGACAAAATAATACCCGCAACTCACAACAAGGCAACAAGAAAGATGCGACTGGTGATAAAAGTACTGATATTACAGAGGCTATGTCTGATATGAAGTTATCATCTAATGTCAAGAAAGAAGACGAAGTTGTGGATGATGGTTTCCAAGAAGTGAGAAACAAGAAGAACTCGAAGGATGCAAGAGGTCCACAGTCAAAGGAGGAAAATCCACAAACTGCCAAACAGCCAAGATCTCATTCTAACCAAGGTGGCGGTCGCAACGGTTCATCCACACGAAACTCTAGTGATAAATCCAATTCTCGTAATTCAGCACCAACGGCCAGCAAAACGGGGTCACAATATGACCGCTCTCGTCAGAACAATCTAGCGCCCCGTTTTGTCAAACAACGGCAAAAGCAAATGGGTATCGTATCGGGATTCGGTCCCGACACCGGAGCGGCACCGCCTCCGCCTCCCGTCAATGCATGGGACAAGCCTATATCGCAGACTTTGCGAGGCAATGTGGAAGAACAGCCACCAGAAGTGGTCGAAAATAAGTCTGCACAGTCCAGTCAACGTAGCACTCCAGCAGATATTGTGCCTGAAGTGAAACCAGTTCAGCCGGCGACCACTTGTACTATCGTCGCTGACAAAGCCGGCGTCTTAGACGGGACCACGCCTCCAGTAGAAACTATTATATTTGAGAATACTAACTATAAGACTGCCCCACCGGCCGAGGCCTTAAAACAAAAATATCAACCCAGCGCTACCACTGCCAAACCGCAAGGAGAAGAGATCCCTGCGGAAATGGAGGCTCGTCCTCTACCTTTCAACGGAGACGTCAGACCACGGCCCAGGTCGATTCAGGAGTTGATCGGTGATAATCCTCGTCCCGCCGCAGACGGGGACGGTGCTCTAGGCATTCAGATGACATTCGATACTTCGCAAAAAGCGGAAGACTCCTCTGACATGAAGCTCGACTTCGCTTTCGATTCGGATCTCGGTCAACTCACCGAGGACAAGTCTGCCAAGACGCTCGGCCTACCGCGCGGCGTGCACATGAGCACATCGAACACAATTTCCCCATTGGCGGCGGATCTCAATTTAAAAATCGCCAGCGTGAAGAAAGTTTGGGAAATGCCCGCCGTGGCCGAGGGCGCCGAGGAGTTGCAGTTCGCCGGTTTCGAGGAGAACAACACCGAGACGGGTGCTCCGCCGAACGTGTGCAAGGTGAAGCCGACGCAGCAGCTGCAGTCGCCGCCGCCGCAGCACTACAACCACGTGGGCTACCAGGGCGGCTACGGCGGCCTGTCGGTGCCGTCGCCGCCCGCCGTGCTGTTCAACTCGTCGCAGCAGCTTCTGGGCTCGTCCCAGCAACTGCAACAGCAGGGCAGTCTGTATGGTGCTTTCCTGGATCAAAGTCGTGGACAGTTCGGAGGATTCCCTGGTACCCCATACGGTGCCGGATCGGCTGCTCCGTATAACTATCAGCCACCTCCAGACATGTTCCAAAGCCTTCCGAGCCAGTACAGAATGGTAAGTTAAGTTCATGTTCATGTCCTATTTAATTACTTTTCTATTTATTTGAAAGACAGTTAGTATAATCATTTCTTCATTTTTAGGCGGCAGCAGCTGGTGGGGGAGCAGCATTTGGTCAATCCGGGCAGCTCGGGAACAGCCCTAGTACTGTTCTCATCTCAAGCACTTCCAACTCCCTCATGTCCGCCACTGTCAAGCCTTCGACGCAACAAATAGGCGCTATTGGTAAGCTTTTTTTTGCAATCAAATAGTACTGATTTGAAACAGCATACTACTAAAGTTTGTTTACTGTATCACAATGTCCTAAGCTGATTTTACATAATTACCATACCTGATTTGAGGCGATGACTTGGAACCTATTCTCATGACTCCCAATTCCCAAACAGGCAGCAAAGGCGGCGGCGTTGGCGGAGTCGGTGGCGTGGGAGGCGTTAACACGTACCAGCAGCAGTACCTCGGCTATTCCGGGCCGGTGGGCGAGGCGCCCTACTCGCTGCCCGGCCTGCTCCCGCGGCCCGCGCCCCCCGCCAGCTCGTACTACTCGCCCTACCAGCCGCCCGCGGCGCCCGCGCCGACCTATCCGCTGCAGTTCACGCAACCCGCGCAGTCAGGAGCCTTCGGGTCCCAGTTCCTGTCGTCGCAACTGCAAGTCGCGGCCGCCGTGCAGCAGATGCAGGTACTTAAACTATATTTACTGTTAATAACAGCCACTAGCAGTAACTTGACTAGGGCGAAGCATACTCGCGGCCCGCGCCCCCCGCCAGCTCTTACTACTCGCCCTACCAGCCGCCCGCGGCGCCCGCGCCGACCTATCCGCTGCAGTTCACGCAGCCCGCGCAGTCGGGAGCCTTCGGGTCCCAGTTCCTGTCGTCGCAGCTGCAGGTTGCGGCTGCCGTGCAGCAGATGCAGGTACATATTCTTTATTTTAGTATCCATACCAGCCAGTAGCAGTAACTTGTCTTGGGCGAAGCATACTCGCTGCCCGGCCTGCTCCCGCGGCCCGCGCCCCCCGCCAGCTCCTACTACTCGCCCTACCAGCCGCCCGCGGCGACCGCGCCGACCTATCCGCTGCGGTTTCGGTCGCTGTCGGGAGCCTTCGGGTCCCAGTTCCTGTACTTTATTTTACTGTTAATACCGGCCAGTAGCAGTAACTTGGCTAGATCGCCCGGCCTGCTTCCACATGCGCGTATTTGAATGAAATGGTGCCCCAAAGTATGGAAATCTTTATAAAGTTATAGGCCCCTTTCAGTACAACATACGTCCTAAATAGCTATTCAGGTATCTTACGAATTTATTTCTTAAAGACAGAGTAAGTACTTTACTCATATCTATTGCTTACGAATGCTGACGAACATGATTGACTCATGCATGAGTTGCCAAATACACTTGCCTAAACCATTCGGGACTTCCCTTTCTCTGCTATTACGACGGACGGTAGTAAAGAGCTTATCACATGATTTTATGATTATTATTACATCGCTCTTTAATTAGCCCAGCGTGCAGCGGAATAGAAATCCGAAAATGTGACTAGTACTAATTAGGATTTTGGTAGACGCCTTCCCATCCAAAAAGTTCGATATTTGAGCGTCCTTACATTTCATGATGGACCAAGTGATGTTAGTCGCGGTACTGTGTACTATCAGAAAACAAAACACAATTTCACCTAACGAATACATCTTTTACAGCAACAGTACCGGACGCCGCTTCAGCAGCAGTACGCGCCGCCGCAGCCGCGCCCGCCGCCGCAGCAGCAGCTCAAGAGCCCGCTGCACGAGCACGCCAACGGGTGAGTTGATGACATTCACCAACAGACTTCATGAATCGGTCATGCTGTATAACTGTATGACGAAATCATCAATGTCAAGTGATGATATGTTTCTACATTAGACTGTATAGTATATTGCGATTGTACCATCGGCAACAGTGTTAACTATCCATTGCCTGTCATGTCGTCTCGTTCTATCGCAAAGAATCACCATTTGATGAGAGCGAGAGCAAAAACGGAAATGGATAGTTAACAGTGTGGCCGTGTGTACCTACTATCTTTTTGAAACAAACATTGCTGTAAGATTCTGTCATCAAGTTTAACAAACAGAAGTAATAAACCATGTTATTGTTAATCAATCCGAATTTTTTATACATTGGCTGGCGGTATGATACCGAAACCGTGGGATTCACAAAACAAACAGCTTAGTTGGAAGTTTTAAATGTAGGCCACAAATGGCAATGAAATCTTGACCATTTCATTAACTACAATCGACTCTGTTACATCCCTTTAGGCCTGATTCAGACAGCGGTAAACGCGCGGTTGCCGGGCAGTTCTCGCACATACACACTTGCAACTAACGAAGGCGAGTGAGCTTTACTTGTGTGTGTGTGTGTGTGTGTGTACGTGTACATGCATATGCACATACCATAGTGTAATGTGTATCAAAACTTTTGAAAAACGAACAGTAGCGAGCCACCACACATATAAAGCTCATTGGCTTTCGTGAATTGTAACAACTATAGCATCAAACGTAACCGCACGGTTACCGCCTGAGTTCCTCGCCAATGGGAACTGCCTAGAAACCGCGAATTTATCGAGCGTCTGAACAAGACCTTAATTTACCGAAAGCCGCCCCTCAATGAGGGCTATCGTTTTTATACTTAACAGTTGGCACCCCTGCCGATTGACAGGACCTTACTCTACAGTGGCGCCATCTTGATGAGTGCAAATGCGATAGTCCTCCTACCACTTTAGCGCTCACAAGTTGGCGCCACTGTCTTCGCTACTAGCAAGTGACAGGATCTTACTCTACAGTGGCGCTAACTGGTGAGCGCTAAAACGATAGCCCTCATTTAGATATTCCGAGCGTATGTAATACCATTGGTATCAGCAGGTTCGCGCCGCTGTGCGAGAGCGCGTCGCCGACGCCGAAGGGCGCGGCCAAGCCGCAGAAGCCGCCGCACTCGCCGCCGCACAAGTACCACCACGCGCACCACCCGCCGCACCCGCCGCCCGCGCACACGCCGCACCAGCACCACCAGCACCAGCAGCATCAACAGCATCAGCAACATCAGCAGCAGGTAACTAACTTTAAGATTATTAGTTCGTTCGTTCGTTTCAGCCAAATGACGTCCACTGCTGGACAAAGGCCTCCCCCAAGGCTTTCCACAATGAACGGTCCCGCGCCGCCCGCATCCAGGCTCCTCCCGCGACCCTCACCAGATCGTCAGTCCACCTAGTAGGAGGCCTGCCCACGCTACGTCTTCCAGCCCGTGGTCGCCACTCGAGAACTTTTCTGCCCCAACGGCCATCGTCTCTACGAGCTATGTGCCCCGCCCACTGCCACTTGATTTTAGCAATTCTGCGAGCTATGTTGGTTACTTTGGTTCTCCTGCGGATCTCCTCATTTCTGATTCGATCACGCAGGGAAACTCCGAGCATAGCCCGCTCCATCGCCCTTTGGGTGACCTTGAGCCTTCTTATGAGGCCCATAGTAAGCGACCACGTCTCAGATCCGTATACCATCACTGGCAACACGCATTGGTCAAATACTTTCGACTTGAGACACTGCGGTATTTCGGACGTGAGTATTCGCTGGGTGCGAAGTACTAGGTGGGGGGGACATAATCTATCGCAGCGCTCATGGTGGTCAAAAGTAGAAATAATGTTAGCTCTGTCATCAGATGTATCTGTCAATGGCAAAGCGATTCTACATAATACATTTTAATATCATTAATTAATCGCATGAAAAGGGTCCTACTGGGAACTTAAATAAAAGAGTGGACTGTATTTCGATAGGGCTGTTTTAATAGCCGTTTACAATTTGGAAATAACTAAACTATACAACGTGGTAGTACAAAAATGAGTCACAGTAGTTGTTGTGCACAGATGTTTGCCTTATGATGAGAGCGTGAATTATTGAACTCTGCCCTTGTTTTGTTCTTAATTCTTCTACATCTCGGACTTGTCCAGCCAATACCAACAACTTTCCTTTAAATACGGTTTGTGGTTGGAATTTGATATTGTAACTCTCACAAACCCGGTCTTCAAAACGATACTCATTTCGATCTGAAAACGATATTTAATTTATTACTAGCGACACAGAAACATTTAAATATATTTACTGTTATATAATAAAACCGTTAAAGTAGCTTTTTCTTTTTGTTTTACTGTAAAACTACAACTATAAATGAAGTAAACAAACCCTGACACAATCAAAATTAAACACACTTTTTGGACTTACCTCATTTGATTTGAATGACCAAAATGATTTCAAAACCTTTTTTCCACCCAAATCGTGGTATCACAACAATTTATTAGTTGAAAATATTTGTTATTTTTCATTTCGATATTTTTTCACAAATTTACGACCTAAATGTCAATGTGACAGAGCCCACAAAGTTGTGGACGCTAGTTGGCGCTGTAATCGTGCACGGAGCCAATATGGCGAAGCTTCCCGAACGCTGCCCATCCGAGTTGGATTCGACGATTGACCTCTTTCTCGAAGTTGGACCTACCTAACTGAACTGAAGATTATTAGTAACTAGCTTTTACCCGCGTGAAATTTTGTGCCACAGATTGGCATAAATTATCGCCTATATGTTAATCTGGGTTACAAATAATAATACTGTAAAGTTTCAACCAAATCCTTTCAGTAGTTTTTGCGTGAAAGAGTAACAAACATCCACACAAACTCGCCTTTATAATATTAGTAGGATTTGTTATTACACAAATTACTAATAGTCCCGTTAGCCCCTCGTACTAAGCTAAATATGCTTGTGTTACGCCATCCCCGGATCACGAGTAGGCCAGTCCGACCCCTTCACCGTTCGGCTATCGTTATTTCACTACTAACTAATTTACTTATTAAACTAAATAACTCGAATATCTTCTTGTTCAATATAATGAATGTCTATTGCTGGACAAAATTGCAACAAACTAATTAATCAAACTTACCTGCGCATCCCAGTCGCTCCTAGCGTATACGAGATGCTTACATTAACGGGCTTTTTTCTCCTAAACGATGTCGAACTAACGCTGGCAAAAGAGCTCCTTTACGGCGATTTAACCGATTGAGTCCCAGACGGCATTAATTAATGTCATAACAATTGATTGATTTGATTTTTGAAATTGATTGATTGTATTGTGTCCAGATTCGCGGAGCTTGAAGGATTAATGGATACTTATAACAAATATTTTACTGATATCGATTTATTTGTAGTGTCACCCTCAAGGTTTAGAAAGTGCAAGCAAAATTACAAGGACCGGTCTCCACTTTGAGGCAGAAACGTTCTCGAGAGACCACACCTCGGAAGTTGGATCCCATCACTTTATCCATGTTATTCTCGCTCCATTTACATTATTCATAGTAGTAGATAAAGTAGGATCCAGCCACTGTGAGAGATGTTACGTTTACGTACTACGCAGACCTTGGAGTGGGATCTCGGTGAATCGATCGACGATCTAGTGAGGCTCTGGAAGCGTCTGTGGGTCTAGACAAAGTGCACAAAATCGCTAATCAGTCAGAAAGTGGTCGAAAGGCCTTTTTTTGTATGAAGTTTTTTTTTTACATTTTACACTGCGCCGCGCTAGTCCCAAACTAAGCAAAGCTTGTACTATGGGTACTAGACAACGGATATAAACATACTTAAATCCATTTTTTTTTTGTAAATACATACATAATATTATACATAGAAAACACCCAGACCCGTCACAGAAACTAAAATTCATCATTTCAATTTCTGCCCGACCGGGAATCGAACCCGGGACCTCTCGGCATAGTAGTCCGTTCTGAACCACTACACCAAACGGTCGACGGATACGATTTTCGGATCGAACAGCTCAAGGCCGTCATTATTAGAATATACCGAATTTTTTGAGAACACTCACGCGCTTATAGCAATATTTCATTCATCATGCACCTATATTGAATTGTTCCTCAATCCTCCAGCAGATGGTGTCGGGCAACAACGGTCGCTGCGGCGGCGGGCAGGGCGGGCAGGGCAATGCACGTATATTGAATAAAATTGTTTTTGAATCCTCCAGCAGATGGTGTCGGGCAACAACGGTCGCTGCGGCGGCGGGCAGGGCGGGCAGGGCAATGCACGTATATTGAATAAAATTGTTTTTGAATCCTCCAGCAGATGGTGTCGGGCAACAACGGTCGCTGCGGCGGCGGGCAGGGCGGGCAGGGCAATGCACGTATATTGAATAAAATTGTTTTTGAATCCTCCAGCAGATGGTGTCGGGCAACAACGGGCGCTGCGGCGGTGGGCAGGGCGGGCAGGGCAATGCACGTATATTGAATAAAATTGTTCCTCAATCTTCCAGCAGATGGTGTCGGGCAACAACGGTCGCTGCGGCGGCGGGCAGGGCGGGCAGGGCATGGCGCGCGGGGGCCTGGCGCCGCGCTACCCCGCGCCCATCCAGCGGCCGCACGCGCCCGCGCTGCCGCTGTACCGCGCGCCGCAGCCGCCGCGCCACCACGCGCCGCACCCGCACCACGCGCACGTGCCGCGCCACAACCTCTACTACCACCACCAGCAGCGCAGTGAGTTGCACTTTAAACTTTCGCTGCAGCATAGCAGCTGTAGCGTTAAAGGCTTCCACAGACCAAACGCGGGTCATAAGCAGTGCGGGTCAGTTGCAACGCGGGCGGTTTTCAAAAATTTAAATATTCGAAAACCGCTTTCAACGCGCTGCTACCGCCCTGCGTCCGGTGTGTCATGCTAATATGGCCGCCATAGTAATACAACAGCGCGGGCCCGCGTTCGCGCCGCTTCCGTCCCGCACCCGTTTGTCGTTCGGCAGTTGCAGACACACTTCAAAGAGTTTCTTGTATTTCAACTTGCGCGGGCCCGCATTCATACTGCGCCGCTACTGCCCCGCGTTTGGTCTGCCCAAGCCTTTAGACCCGTGCCTTTCTATTTTAACGCAGTGAGTGTCAATATTAATATATGTAATAAAAAATTGTTTATTGCTTTTTTACAAAAGAAAACTTATAATAAAAAGGTAGAAGCAAATGAAGGCGGCTCAGCCTCCACTACCACCACCAGCAGCACATTGTCTGTCCGCACCACACATTAATCTCTTTGACCACAATATCAAAAGGGCTTACGAATTTGCCGCGATGCTTATGAAGCTAGGCGCTATAGGAATGACGGGTAATTCCGAAGGGGCAAAGTTATTCAGGGAGGTGAAAGGTGTATGCCTGCCTACAACTTTGACATTTGAAAAGTATGTTGAATAAATGTGGTTTTCCTACCCAGATGGCGCTGCAGGCGGCGATCGCGCAGCCGAGGGCGGCGAGGTGGCGGCGGCGGCCGACGAGCCCGCCGAGCCGGCGCCGGCGCCCGACGCGCCGCCCGCGCCCGAGGTGAAGGCCGAGTGAGCCCGCGCCGCCGGACTTCGGCCCTGCCGCGGAACGGCAATGCTACAATCGAGTGGACCGATGGCGCACTTTACGATACTGCCCACGAACTCCACTTCGTTTTATGTATTCAAACAAGTTAATATGGACCCTTGGCTTTATTCTGAAACTATCGTACTGAGTGTTTCGGTCCGAACAGGCAGCGGGGTGTGATTTTTTTAACCGAACTCCCTGTAGCGCTCGTGTGCCTCCTCTGCAAAGCGGTTTTCCTATTTTTGGCTCTGCCAGCCGTTCCCGCTTACGAAAGCAATTTTGATGAAGAGACAGAGCTACGATTACTGACATCGCCTTGCGGAGTGGGGCCCATGATGTGCCCGTGTCGAAATCTCGGTTTCAACAGGTTCGGAATGCTCTAGCCAATGTATCGTAATAACTTGTTACTGCTGAAGCCCTCTACGCCAGACTAACTGAAGATCTTAAAGCCAGTGGATTTTTGGGAATCAATCAATGATCTATCTAAATCGTCGAGCTATTTCTGTAGATCATTGATTACAGCGCCCTAAAACCCGTTGGCTTTAAATCTCGGTCGATCTGTGATAAAAGTCCCATTCGTGGTCAGCTAATTTGGACAAGGCTCCAAAGCTTCATTGTCATTTTCACACGCGCCACTCGTGACGACCGGTGAGATGGAAGGCGTGAACAATCAAAGAGATTGTATGAACAGTCGACCACCGCGATTAGTATATGTGATCATTTGTGGCCACGATCGAGCGGCTAGTCGCCCCGCGTAGTGGCAGTCTTAGGTTTTCGGTATTTTAATTAAGTCGTAAATTATGGAAGTGATTTTTAAGATTATTTAAGATGCGTACGGATCGACGCGCCGCCCGGGTCCGCCTCGGGCCGGCCCCGGCGTGCTCGGTAGCGTGCGAGAGGCGCTCTGTTTGTATATAAATATATTGATCGGACGGACATCCGGCTGTCTATTTGACTGTTATGTTTAAGTAATGTAAACGCGAACGGTCGGCGGCCTCGCTGCTCTCGACCGAAGTTATCGCGAGGACTAAACGTCCGACTGACCGATGCTGCCTCGAGACCTCTCATTAGTGAATATGTAGCGACGGTTTTTGCAAAACGAATGTCGATGCAATATAAATGAATAATAAATGTAATTCGGAGTGAAAACGATTGCCCCCGATATTGGCCGGCAGGCGCGCGTTCGAACTCCATGTATCATAATCAATTATTATATGCGAATAAAATTATTATGACCGATTTAACTCTTTCATTATAAACTCCCAATACCTATCCCGATAAATGAAAACGTAGGTAGGTATAGGTCGCTCTATAAAAAGTTGAGGCGAACACGAAACACAATATTAGAATAGGTACAGAACACGCACATGACATCAACACTCTCAAGCTTGAATACAGCTACCTCTACGGATTATTGCACTTGGTTCACCTGAGTGAAGAAAGTGGAATAATCCACCTCGACCTCGCTCTTGATAAATGTCCGCAAGTGGGGCAAAAGCACTTGTCAATGCCACTACGCAAAACGTCAGAGCGGCGCGAGCGTATACAGAACTATTTTTAGCACAAAAGGTTAACTGGTAGAGAATGCCTCAGGTCTTATGGCATTAAGTTCCACTTATGTACCAATTTAACCCGGCGAGGATGTGGAGGGGTCAATTTGACCCCGTGCTTAATATTTTTGTGTACAGTTAGTTATATCGTAGCGGTGTGCTGTTGAAAGTCTCAGTAGCTGGAGTAATTGAACTCTGCTACCCTTTTCACGCCACTAATGAATCAACCATCGCTGGTGAAAGAAAATAGACGTGCGAAAACGTAAAAATGACGAAATTTTGCCAAAATTACATTGCTCTATTTTGTTAAGAATGAGCTAATTTGTACCTTAGAAGACTAATTATGAATAACTAATGATATAAGATATTGATTACCAGAAAATACTAATTAATATTATGTAATATGATGAAATTGCGTTTTTGTTACAAGATAACGCAAATTTCACTATTTTTTAGACTTTTAGAATATCTCTATTATTTAAACGTGTATATGGCTATTGGTGAATTTTTCAATTTAAATCCATTAACTACTAACTATTACTTAAGTTTCTTGATAAATATTACTTTACTTACCGCTTAGTAGGGAAAAATCTACAAATCAAATACAGGGTCATAAAGACCCTCCACATCCGCGACTTATACCTTTTGTACCACATCCTCGCCGGGTTAAATGGCATTAAAGATTAAACAAATAAATTCACCCGTCCGTAATACCGCATTCACAAAGCGGACACTTCGCCTGATATTGCACGACGATTCTATCATTACGAGTCGTAGCACATAATGACGCAAGAGGAATAACCGGTTTAAAATTTTTCATTTGAATAGCCTCCAATCGGCTTCGTTATGGAAAAGAAAAGCGAGAAGTTAGAACACAACAGCTGTTCTCGTAGGTAGAGGCTTACCGAATACATATTGTAAGGAGGGTGGGTTCCTTAACAAAATTGCGCTCATACTCATCAGTTGGCGAGTGATAGGGCCTTCTACCGCTTCATCTCCATTAATTAATTTGAACTATAACTACAGAACACAGAATAAGAAGAGATAACTTAGGTGTCCTACTAAACCTTGTTTTTTTTTATTCAAAAAGTTAAAAGCGCGATGAATACTGTTGGGAAGAAACCCCATCATAAAAATAAGTACATAGGTACTTGCCAGTTCGCAATACCGCGCTTTCTATGGGGAAAAACAACGAAAAGTAAGAGTATACAAGAAAAAACCATGGTGAATTAATTGGCGACGACGTTCAATATTGCTAATTGACAAAAGCAAATGAAATGGATTTTAGCTTGATGATTCGCTTGGCCATTCTTTGTTTGCAGTAAGCTAAGTAAGTGGTTTTTCACGAAACTGTCCGTGCACGTTTGTGTAACTGTTTCAGAATCAGAACGAAGGGATATTCAGGTCGGGTTAGAATAACCATCTCCTTACAAATAATTATAAATTCCCAATCCAGTCATCATCATCTCAGCCATAGGACGTTCACTGCTGAACATACATCCCAATCCAGTAACTGGTCGTAACCAGGGTAAAACTTACTCAATACTTTATTGCTTCACCACATTAGCGTTTAGGTCTTACAATTCAAGCAGATCAATGTGGACCCAGTTAGGGCACAGCAACTTTTGGAAGGAGGCAGAACTTAAATAAGCTAGCTTAGCGTTTATAAGAATCCGCCCCTCCAGAAATCCGTTAGTCGATCTGTTGGCATGGATTACGCTAATTACATGACGATAACGTAACGAGGAAATTTAATAAAAATGCGTAAACGCTGTCACAAGTCGCTACTATTTTGGCGATCAGCCAAAACGCACCCCGCTACTTTATGTAGGGGAGCGGGAAACTAGGACGACTGGACGGCGCCACTGCATCCTTATGTTTTGCTCATGTTACGATAAAGTGGCACTAACATGTGTTAAGTAATAGGTAGTTTTACATAATGTAAATATTAAGAATAAACGTCCTTTTTAGGGTTCCGTACCTCAAAAGGAAAAAACGGAACCCTTATAGGATCACTTTGTTGTCCGTCCGTCCGTCTGTCAAGACCCTTTATCTCAAGAACGCGTGAACGTATCAAGCTGAAATTCACATGAAATACTCAGGTCTATTGTCCCTTTAAGCTGTGAAAATATCAAACTTCTAAGCCAAGCCAATCAAAAGATACAGCCGATTATGTCGATATTTTCAACAAATTTTCGACACTCGCAAAGGAATCAAAACCTACAGGATACTTCCCGTAAACTCAGAATCTTGAAATTTGGCATAAAGCATTGTCATATAATGCAAATATAGGAAAAATTGCGAAAATTACATTTTTTTAGTTATATAATATAATAAAAATATTTTAATAAAATGAAACTTACTACCTTATTTCTCACGAACGAATAAAGGTATCAAATTGAAATTTATACCAAATACCTAGATCTATTGTCCCTTTAAGAAGTAAAAAAATCAAACTTCTAAGTTAACGCGATCAAAAGATACAGCAGTTTATACCGACACCTTAGACGAATTTCCGTCACACGCTAGGGAATCAAAACCTACAAGGTACTTCCTGTGAACTCAGAATCTTGAAATTCGGCACGAAGCAACGTTATATAGTACAGATAAAGGAAAAATTGCGAAAATGATAAATTTGAAGTTATATAAAATTTAAAATATTATTTTTGCTTACATGACATAAAATATTTTTTTAATAATTATAAACTTACTACCTACCCTTTTTCACATGAACGCGTAGAGATATTAAAGTTGAAATTCATATCAAACACTTCTTAAATCTAATTGCCTCTAAACTGTGAGAAATTCTAAATCAACGCAAAAATTCAAAACGCTGAGGTAGGTACCTACCTATAATGCAAATATAGGAAAAATAAATAAATAAAAAATAATCATACCGCATATTTTGAAATTCGCCACTACTCGCAACGGAATCAAGTAAGTAATTTGATTTAATACGTCATAAATTGTAAACCGCTACGTTTGTACGGCGGAACCCTCGGTGTGCGAGCCCGACTCGCACTTGGCCGGTTTTTTATATTTAAAGCCACTTTTATCGCTAGTTGTATTAAGAACTGAAGGTATTTTTTTATTCAAAATTGTGTTCGTAATTTTTTGGAAAACGATAGTAGAGATTGACCGAATGATAAGATAAAGTTACATCACAATATGCAATTGGTTGCAAATAGTAAAACACTGTTCTGGTTGGCGGCTTTTACCCGTGGTCCCCCCAACATGATGTCCCCCTGGTGGGTCCACGGGTAATTTTTTTTACCCGTTGTCCCACCGTTCTGAACAGTGTTTGCCAGTGGGTCTACAGGTAATTTATTTTAACCATGGTCCCACCGCACTAAGTGGCAAATATTGCATGTCACCTAGGTATCTATAATATTATAAAAAAATCTATACTTATTATAGAAAATAATTATAGGTAGGTCCGGCACCATATATTTATAAGACTTAATTCTTAAGTTCATATTTATTTGAGAATAAAGGATAAGTCGAAATTAATAATTGCAAGAACATTTTTTTATAATATCTTCACATCACACATGTGGGTTTAAAGTTCCTTGAGTGTAAATAAATAAACAAGGAAATCTCACCAATGAGTAGGTACGGATATGTGATGAAATATCAAACGCCGAGTAGGATATGAGTTCATATGAGTGACTTTAACACACATATGTGATGTGAAGATATTATAAAAAATGTTCTTGCAATTATTAATTTCGATGTATCCTTTATTCTCAAATAAATATGAACTTAGGAATTAAGTCTTATAAATCTATGGTTAACCTACCTATAATTATATTCTATAATTAATTATAGATTTGTTTATAATCTCTCCATTATAAGATACCTAGCTAGGTGACATGCAATGTTTGCCACTTAGTGCGGTGGGACCATGGTTAAAATAAATTGGGGACATGTTGGGGGGACCACGGGTAAAAGCCGGAAAAGAGACACACCATAGGTATGGCTAATTAGCATTGATTATGTATGACTACATACTGGAATACTCCACTCTGCGTGGTATCGGATAATGAGTGGTATGGATAAGCATAATTAAATATTTCAAAAGAGAGATCCGATCAAAATCATGATTAATTTTTTAATCAATCAATGAGCGGAAGTTTCGTCGATAACGAGATACTTTTTCCAACTTGTCTCACAAGAAAAATATTTTGGTTTCAAACAATGCAATAATTTGTGCCACAGTGTTTGTATTAATTGATAATAACAGTGTTAATCGTATTTATTAATAAAATAATCATACTTAAACAACATCAACCAGATGTATTAAACCAGAACAGATTCCATTACAATATTATATTACTTTCCATGGAATAATATTATAATGATAGCTAGCTAATACTTATTTTCACCCATTTACTATGAGTGCTATTCCTATTTACTTTGCAATAAATGCATTTTATATTATAAATTCTGAAGTCTTATTTTTTGCATGGATACCTAGAATCAAGCCTAGCTTGGGGTCATTTGACAAAGTTCTACGTGCTCACGGACCGTCGAAAATCGAATCCGTCAAAACTCCATATAAAAAACCGACTCCAAAAAACCTACACTAAAAAGTAGAAAAATAATTACTAATTACCTACTTATTTATTAGGACGAATTAATATTTATGTAGGTATACCATGATTAATACTTCTGGAGTCGGTGCCAAGA